AGAGTTACACTACTGCTTTCAAAAAAAAGAAAGCAACCAATCACTTGCTTGAAGAAACCATGTATAGTATAGACAATACATGGGCCCCATTTATATTTATGCAAAAGCATATCATATTTATGGGTTTCAAGCCATACTTTATGTTTTTAGCCAAGTAACTATTTTTCTATTTCCAATATAAGGATAATATCTTAAAACAATTAATATTCTTATGGAAACAATTTAAATTTATTTTTGAAATTTATCTTAGTAATAGGAAATATTCTACTTGCCTCTCAGAAATTTAATTTTTTTTAGTAAATTCAGTCCAAACCCCAGAACTGAATACAGAGGAAGGATGTACTCCTTACCCACCAACTCTCCAATATTCCTTTTTTTTTTTTTTTTTTTTGCACTGGGATCACCATACCTAATTCTGCAGCTGACTTGATATCCACATTGTCATAGCCACTGCCAATTCGCACAATGACCCGGAGAGCTTTGAATTTCTCCAGGTCCTGGCGCGACAAGGTAATGGTGTGGTACATCAGAGCCCCAACAGCTTCATTTAGAACCTAGAGGAAGACAGAACAACAGAATAATGCTTACTTCATAGCATTAGAACTAGTGATCTCAGGATTCCACAACCTCACTTATTATTCAGCATTCCACTTCTGATCGACGCTTTATTTGCTGTTCAATGAACTGCAAAGTACTCCAAGAAAGGAATGGAATGTGAAAGACAGAAAGAGAATATAATTGCTTCTACAAAAGGACAAACACCATCCCTCTTTTTTTCACGTCCTTTTAAATTCACAGAAAAGAGAAAAATAATTGTTCCTCTCCCTTCCCACTGGCCTTTCATACTTAAGCAGAGTAGCAAAGTGCAATATGCATTTTCTGCAAAATTTGCTAGACAAAGGACCACCCCTTCTGAGTTCTTTTAAATTCCCATTGGTTTCCATAGAATTTGGTTCAAAATGAGGTGGAAAGCAACTACAAATAATGGCTAGCTCTCAAAGCAGAATTTATGAATTCTACAACCAATTCATTTTTCATTGGAAAGTGAAATTTCCCCCCTCCTCTTTTTAAAAAAACACTTACTTTTTCATGGATTTCCTGAGTTGATTGTGCATCACAGAAAGCCACTGTGGCAACATCTTTCAGGATAGGCATTTCTACAGTGCAATCCCTGCCATCAAGGAGGGCAACCAATGGACGAGCTGGCATTGGACCATTACCAATAGGAGGCCTTATGCCTACAACAGAAAATAGCATTATTCACCCACAAATAAAAATGAAAGGTATACTTCTACTAGTCCCATTGCAAATGAATTATGGCATCCCAATATGTTAAGTGTTGGGAAAAATTCAGGAACAGTATTAGATTATTGATAGAGAGCTTTTTATAAGTGCAAAAGACCTCAAATTCAAATTCTACCATTTTTCCAATAAGATTGGGAAAGATACCTCTTTTTTAACATATAATAATAACACTCAGTTATATATTACATGGTCAAGTATTGTCAATCATTTTACAGAACTGATTTACATTATATTGTACACACACACACACACACTCATAATTTATTTTTGTAAAATTTCATTCCTCATATCTTGTAACTTTATCTCGTAACACCCCTTCAGAATATTCAAAATATTTGATGGTCTAAGTTATACATTTTTGAAATTTGCAAAAGTAATAAAATGATAGCATAAATTATCTGACTGAGTTATGGGTCTGAGTTATCATAGGCCTACATTTGCTAAAGTCAGCTTTCAAAGAGGAACTTTTGATTTTTTTTAGCATTATTATTTCCACTCATATTATTGCCTTCATAAATAAGTATTTTATGCAGTAAAGAATATTTATCTTCATATTTTAAACAGAAAGTTCCTGTCTGGAACGCTTGAGGGTTGCTTCAATCAGAACAGAAATTAGTAAACAAATAAGCCAATAACCTGATCAGTATAAGGGAGTACCCAGCAATGCTAGGTGCTCCCTTATACAAACAGAACAGTAATATGGAAGGTACTTACCCATATGTATTTGCAAATATTGACTAAGTTAATAATTCTAATGTATTTTTAACAATTGTGGGGAATGGAATAGTTGTGATCATGCAAACAAATCTTTTATCACCCTTTCAGTATTTTATGTGCTTTCAAACTTGAATAGCAAAAATCACCTAAAAACCACTTAAGAAATGGTTATTACATCTAAAAAGGAACTCAATTTGTTCTCTCCTAGCTAAGGAAATGATGAAAAACACAATAGAAATGCACAAATGTTTCAAGATACTATACTAGTCTTCCTAACAATGATATAACTGAAAAATGGAAATTGAGTCCATAGTTCTCATTAAGTTACAACATAGTGGTTTTGCTTTAGCAAGATGTGTGAGTGTAATGTAAAGTAAAATGATTATGAATTAGTAATCTATAAGCCTAACCAACTGTAACACTAACACTGATAATGTTATCCAGTTTGGTACTAAAACGTCTGCAAGAAAGCAACCAAGCTCAAAGGACACCAAGGACCTCGCAGTTCAAGCCTTAGCTAAAAATATTCTCTTGTATTGCTAGCCAATTGTATTTATGCAGTGAACCATGATTTAGCAAACCTTAGGTAAGTGTGATATGCTAACCCAACTAAATATATCCTAACAAGTTTATAGACAATTAATATAATTTGAGCCCCAAATAAAGTAAAAAAAAAACTCCTTCTAATCCCTAGCTATTAATGGAATAATTCTCAGAGCAAAAATCAAAAAGTTCTGGCTGGCCTTGTTAGCCAGACAGAAAACTATTGGGAAGCTAAGACACTTTGGCATGTTGCTTTTCTGTTCCAAACAAGCACCTAAAGAAGAAGGCATTCATTAGGCATAAAAGTCTGAAGCTAGAATCAGAAGAGCTTGCTCTTCTGGATGGAGGAACCTATATCTCCTTGTGTTCACTAATGGCTTTCTCTCAATATCGTAAGGGGCTAGTGTAATTGTCATCTTCTGTATGAAGTAAACACCACCAAATTGAGCAAAACTTAATGTCATATATCTCTATGTATCTATCATTGCCAGGCTCAAGGTTGACTCAGCCTTCCATCCTTCCAAGGTGGGTAAAATGAGGAACCAGATTGTTGGGGGCAATATGCTGACTCTGTAAACCGCTTAGAGAAGGCTGTAAAGCACTGTAAAGCGGTATATAAGTCTAAGTGCTATTGCTATTGCATAGCATCATTTAGGCTTCAATTCAAAATATATGCAACAATTGTTATATGCAACAATTTGCTTCCTTTAAATCATTTATTTTTCATTTACTTCTTCGGAGGCAATTTTATTAGCTTTTATCATTATTATTATTATTATTATTATTATTATTATTATTATTACTATTATTATTACGGGACGTGTGTGTGATGTTAAACAGCTTCATAATCTGCCCAGAAAATATCAGTTAGGTGCTGTAAAATATAAATACATTATATATAATATACGATTAAGTAATATCCCACAGAAATTTAAAAAAAAAAAAAACAGCTGGTCCTCAATTCCTACTACTTAATATAAGAAGGTGAAAGATAAAAGGTACACACAATTCAAATGTGCACTTTAGACAACAGAAAACTGGTTTAGATTAAAAGGCTGCACTTTTTTTTTTGACACATTTGCAAGAAACCAAAAGGTACACATTAATAGAGAAAAACATAGGTTTGTGCTTTTCAATGGCAAATAAGCATCATCTATGATCTCTTTTGAAAGAGACACCTGGCATACTTGGACACCTTAAAAGAAAACACCACTATTAGACGTTTCCTCCCCTTCTGTCAAGTGGGGGGACTTTAAGGCTATCCGGGTTCATGGGGTATCACAAGAGCTGAGATAGCGGTCTTCACCAAGGATACAGATCGCGGTTTTTAAAGTAAACGAGTCGGGACTGGCGGTGTAATCTGGGCATCTCAGTCTACGGGCAGGTCGGACCCGGCCATAAGTCGAGGATCCCCATTTTTCAAAGGAAGGATTAGCTCACAACGCCTCACAGCAGAGGCAGGCGGGCGCCAATACTTCCACGAGCAGCCTTCTGTCACAACACCACGTGGGGAGAGAGATTCGGGGCACGAGGTCCGAATCGTCCGGCAGCTTCAGTTCGACATTTGGAGACTTCTTGCCGCCGGGTGCCCGCCATCCCTCCTTCCGAAGCTCAGGAAGTTTTGTTGTGTGTGTGTGTGTGTGTTGTTTTTTTTTTTTTTTTACCTTCGCAAATGCGGTCCAGCCTCTGGCGCTTCACTTTGTGCCTGTCCATGGGACACACCGAAAACGGGCCTGGGGGCGACTCTGAGCAGGAGGCGGGAAGAAGAAAGCGAGAGCTACGGAAAGCCGTAACCTGACTGGGTGAGCGGAACACGCGAACTCGTCCCCCTCCGAGAACTGGCGGCGGAGGCGGCCTGGGCCTCCTAAGTCTGAGGGGAGGAGGGAGGGCGGGAAAGAGCCAGGCCGGGTGGCCCGATGAGCCGCAAGATCCCGCTGTCGCTGCCGCCTCCTCCTCCTCCTCCTCCTCCTCCGGCTGTCTCTTCCCCGCCGCTGCCCTTCCCCCCCCTCCCCTCACCGGCCTCCGAAACGGAAACGGAAGGGCTGGGCTGAGGCCTCGGAAAACGAGATTTCCCGGCACAGGCCCGACGGGAGCGTATCGGCCTCTGCAACCATAGAGTCGCTTCTGAAAGTTTCCCACGCTTCCGGTCTGCTCTCGAGTCGTAATAAATGCGGATTCCGTGGGAAAATGATCGGCAATGTCTGGTGATGTCAGCACAGTATCAGCAATACCTTGTCTTCTGCTTTTCTTTCCCGCGTTTAATTTTTGTGGGTGACTGATAAGCTATATAAGGTTGAAAAATATTAATAGGGCTCCAGGGCTTAAGAGAGCTGTGTCAAGTAAGAGGAAATTTTGAACTTAACTGGATTTATGCATAATAATCCTGTAAGAGCATAAGTGGTTTACCCCCCTCTAATTAAATAAAATGTATAATATACATTTCATGCAAAAGTGTATTAAAATACATTTTTGTCTTCATTCCTTTTCTTTCAATAATGAAACCACAGGTTTTGAGAGATAACATACAGCATCATTCAAAAACTGTTCTCATGTACATTTTTGTATGTCTGGCAAACAGGAAAATGTTAATTCTTTTCAATGGAATAAAATAAAGCGTTATAGTCAGACAACAGGATGATATTTCTTGAATTCAAAAGCAAAGGGCAAAATGCTTACTTTTGGAGCAATTCTTCCTGGAGAAAAACAAATGTCTATGCAATGATGTGTTTAATTTTGCTGCTTTTCTGTATCTTCCTATATTAGGCTGTGGATTAAAATTCTAAGGTGACAAGTAATGTGGATGAAGATTCATCCAGTAAAAATACTCAACAGGATTGTAACATGATTTCAAATTACCGTATCACTGTATTTTTAATTTTAAAAAATCAATCAATTGTATTGTTATGCTTATATGTAGGACTTTATTAAGTATATATCATATTTTCTTTCTTTTAAATAAAGGTCTCTGAGTGTTGTGATCAGGGACAGACCAAAAAGCTTGCCAAGAAAAGCAAATTTGTCAAATTGCTGACAAGGTTTTCTTCCTGTCTCCTTATATTTGACAGGCTTGATCATCCCATCTTAGAGACATACAACTCCCTTTAGTAATTTCTTTTTATTTTCTCTTTTAATACAAAAGAAACAAGCAGACAAAACCCCGTTATCCTACCGCCACTTTCCCTTCTACCCCCACCCCGCTCCCCCACCCTCATCCAGGAGTGCAGCCTCCCTTTGCGGCTGACTCCAAAGTCAGTTTTTCAAGGAGACATCCAAAATGCTAGTTCTCTTCAATCAAAGTTAGATCCAGATCACTAAAATCTGGTTGGAAGAGTGTCCTTTTGCTTGCTAAATTCCAATTTATTTGTCTTGCTGCTTGTACTGCTGCTTCTTCTTCTTCATCCTCCTCTTCACTTTCACTGAGCACCTGGATACAATTATTAATGGGACTGCAAGGAGCTGAGGGTGATTGTGGGCTGCAAGTCAAGAGCCATGATGGATAGCCACCTTCCTCAGATTTGTCTAACTGACAGACTTCCCCTGCAAATGGTTTCTGTCAAAAAAATAAAGAAATGTATATTTCAACACATTTATCTTGTGTTCTAATGTCAACTTGTGGGCATACACATGGTCAGGTGAATTAGAACACTAGTATGATTTACTATAGTGATTGCTCAGTTCCAGAAATTAAATATCATTATCAAAATTGCATTATTATATAAGAAGCTACTATTGTGACTAAATTTTACATTGGCATCCTTCAGTCTCAAAAGACACTGGTATCATGCTCTGGAAAGAGGTCCTAAAACATCATCTAGTGTGACTAAAAACACCAATTCGAGAGTGGCAATCCCTTCTACACTGAGGGCAGATACCTTCTGTCCCCTGCCCAGCCCCCAGAATTCGTTGGTTCCGGGACTGCCTCTTTGCCTCAGCTTGCCGAACAAGTGTCTCTTCGAATTGGAGAAGGCCATGCTGCGTCTTTAGCCTCCAAGCTGAACGATCGGAGGTCAAGGTTTGTGTAACTAAATACCTGAGACATTTTTAAGGGTTCAGCTTGCTGGGATAGACATAAATGTTCAAAAACTGCTTTTATTAACAAACCAAATCTGCCAAGTCTATGGCAAATAGTGTTCCTTATACTTTCTGAAACATTCTAGATACACATAATTGTTCTATTGACATATCTACTACTCCTAGGCTATCTTTATTGGTTTATAGTAATTTCATCTATGGTGTCTCCAACCTCTGGGTATAGATTGCATAACATAATCATTGGTTAACAACAAGTTGTTTGAAGTTATGATGGCAATGAATGAGTGGTACTTACAATCAGTCCCTGAAGTTCCATTTGTCCCAGTACCCATTCAGTCACGTGATCACCACTTGTGACCTTCCCTGTCGGCACAACCAAACTCAATGGGGAAGCTGGCAGGAATGACTTCTGCTACTTTCTCCCAATTCTGCAACACCTACTCACGCCTAGCCACACTTGCACTGAGCTGCAGCAACCACCTGTGTATTCTGCCCTCCAGAGCAGTGGTTACCAACTGGTGGTCCATGGACCACTGGTGGTCCATGAGAAAATTTTGGTGGTCCATAAAAAAATTATTTGCATTTTTATATTGCACTAAGTACTATTTATCTTTTTTTAAAAATTCATATTAGTGGTCCAAGGGATTTAAAATTATGAATTTAGTGGTCCCTGAGGTCCAAAAGGTTGGCGACCCCTGCTCCAGAGCACCAATCATACCCCATGTCCAGCCACGCCTATATTAAGCTGCAGCAGCCACCTATGTTCTATCCAGAGCACTCACTCAGCCACCCTTGCGCTGTTTGCAAGCCACCTGGGATTTGTGACTTTTTGTCAACTTCCCCACTTACTTTGCTTGTAGGAAGCTGGCAGAAAGCAGTGAGGAGGTCCTGACTTAACAGCAAGAGGGACTACCAGGATCGCCGTTGCTAAGCAACACGGTCCTGCAACATTCCACTTTACAACCACATCCAGTGGTTGTAAAGTGGACAAATTCCAGTTCAATTACCATTGTTTAAAAGAGGACTCACCTGTGGACTAATCGAGAAAAAAATTCAGCATTTTTCCATTAAAGATCATTAGGTAATTTTTTGCTTGTGAATTAAAAAAAAACCCCAGGATCTAGAGTGGATTGCTTTGTTCTAAGTATGAAGAACACTGTGAGCTGTCCAGCTACTTTGGTTCTAATTCTCCCTGCTCATGAATGGTTTCAAATAACCACTGGCTCTTCTAACAAATTAATATCTGCTAATACAGGTTATTATAAATCCCAGCATGCATCAAGACAAAATTATTTCACTGATATTACCTAGGTTGTCTGCATGGAAACCACCAAGGACCACTCAAAATTATTTCAATATAACTGCCAATGCAAGTCTCCTCTTTGGAAGGATTAGAAATCTGCCATTTCTAATAAATATACATGGAGCAAAGTCCTCAATTTACAACAATAGAGACCAAAAAAATAGTTAAGTGGTGCAATCATTAAGTGAGGCATCACATGACGGAACACGGTTTTACCTTTTTTGACCTGACATCACATGACTGCAACTTGTGACCTTTCCTGTCGGCTTCCCGATTGATTGGTTGGGAAGGTCGCAAATGGCAAGTGACTGCAGGATGTTGCAACAGTTGTAAATGTGTGATGGCTGACAAATGGCCAACTCATGATCACATGACTAGAGGGATGCTGCAGCAGTCATAACTGCAAGGACCAGTCATGTCACTGATGAATTTTGTTGGTGTCATATACACCATATGAGGTAGTCCTCAACTTGCAATTGGTTTACTTAGTGACTCTTCGAAGTTACAATGGTCTCCCAAAAGTTATTTATGATTTAGATTTGAAGACAGCCCAGCTCCTTTCCATGGTCACATTTTGGGCTTGGCAACTGGCCCACATGTACGGCCGTTTGTAGCATCCCATGGTCATGTGACTGCAATTTAGTGGTTTTTTGCTGGAAGCCAACATTTAACTTCTCTGTTTCAGCAAAGAACACCCATTGCAGACAAATGAGTTTGCTTAACTACTGTGGATTCACTTAACATCCATGGCGATTCACTTAACCACCACTGCAAAAAATATTGTAGAATTGGGTAGGTCATGTGATGACCCACTTAATGACTAGCACAACTTGCAAATATATTTGCAGGCTCAATTACAGTTATAAATCGAGGACTACCTGTAAATAATCCCCAATGTTTTCCACAGTGTATTGTACTCATTTATTGCTTAGCACCATATAATTGTTGAATATAATATGTTCTGCTACATGGAAAAATCCAATTTTATTTTCAGTTTTTTACTTCCCTTTCACTTCACCTTTTCATTGATTTTACAGGGAAGTTTCAATCAACGTGGCTCCAAAGCCAGGTAAATGATGCTTCCTTTCTTACCTGATTCATCTTGTAGAAATCAAGTGAGGGCCTATGCCACCTCACATCCTCTTCATGGCGCCGCTTGAGACCACATTTCCTGGTGTCCAAGTCACAAGGCTGTGAGCGGCTGCGAGGGAGGCTGTGCTGGTGCCGAAGGAGCTCTGGTGTGGAAGTGGTAGAGCTCTGGGGGGATGGCAAGAATCTGACCGGTGACAGAGAGAAACGGCGTTGCAGGGGATAGGGCTGCAAAGTCTCTCCTGTCTCCCATGGTACACTTGCTGGCGATTCTCGAGACAGAGCCAGACTGAAAAATGGTGGGCTCCTGCCACCAACAGCACCATCTTGAACACACTGATAAGAGGCACTGGGGACTGGATTGAAGCAAAGTCTGTTGGCTTCCTGAACCAGGTTCTGGGATTGTACTGCTAAAGTGTCCACTCCACTGGTCTCCCGACGTTTGATATGTGTCCACACTTTGGAGCCCAGGGGCCTCCAGACAGCTTGCCAGCGGGAAAGGTCTTCGGGCACTGAGAGTGAACGACAGTGTCTTTTGGTAGGGGGCACAGAAACTTTTTCTGAAACTAAAGAGTTGGTGGCCAGTGCTTGGGATGCAAGATTGTTCAGAGGGCTGTTTTCTGGGCTGCAAGTTGGCAAGGGAAGGCTTAGGGTGGACTGTTGGTAAGGAACTGTGTTGTCTTGGAGATGGATCTTTGGACAGGGAGCTAGGTCCCTCCATGAAGTCCCCTCTGTAAAGAATAACACAGGACAGGAAATTTAAGTTGAGAGCCGCAGCTGTCATCCAGATCAACTTAGTTAAATATTGTATGACATGCAATTTAACAAAAAGATACTGGATTCCTCACATGAAGTTGGAACACCTTCCAGCCTACTTCTTTAAGCATTTTAAATATATACAGTATATTAACAACTGTCGAATAAAGATATGCCTAGTTAGTATATTAACTCATAAATGATCTAAATTTAATAACTCTTCTCTAACTCCATTAAAATGTTTAATTCTCCAGCCAAATATTCACAATGTGTTCTTCTAGTCCCTTAATTATGATAATGGTAGATAAATAAGAGGTTTCTGAATTAAAGATGTTATTATTTCTTACTATACTGCAAAGGAGATATTTATGAATCAAAGAAAGAATAATGCTTCTTGGAGAAAATCACATGTTCATAGAGAAGCAGCAGCATACAGAAGGAGGTTTACATCATCTGTATCTAGACACCACCTTCTCTATGGCCTACAATCAGCTCATCGGAGATTAAAATCTAGAAAAAGTTTCCTTAGGTCAACGGAAGACTTCAAAGAATTTAAAAGCAGAGAGGACCTATGAAAAGCTACAAAGAACCAACACAGGATGGAACCATCGGGAGAGCTGGAACTTGGGTCTGGCAAGTATGGAAAACACTGAATAGACTGTGCATGGGTGTAACAAGATCCAGAGATACTCTGAACAAATGGCACTATAGCTTTTGCCCTTTGCAATTGTGGTGACATGCAGACAACAACACATATGTTAACCTGTCCTTTGTGTCCTAATCAATGTACACTTGAGGACTTCATGACAGCACAACAGAATGCAATTAATATTGCTACTTTCTAGGCAGGATCTGTTTAACTTGTTTAATCTTGTCTTTTACATTTTATGTCATATATTTTAAATTTTATGTCATATAGTATGCCTTATTTTAATTGTGATGTTTCTGACATGAATAAACAAACATTGTTACATTCCATTTATAGTTGGATGTAGTTATAAAGGGAAAAATATACACTATCACTTTTATTTCTTTCTACAGGAGAAACTAAAAAAAATGAGAACTGATTGAACAATGGAGAACACACTTTTAGTTTATTTAAAAACTTCCTGTTTTCAAATGTTCAGCATCCCTGAGGATATAGGGCTGTTTTCTATTGTTCTCTTCCATCTATATGAAGAAATACATCTAATGCAACTACTGGATTATATTACAGCTACTTCCTTCCTAGTCATATCTTTAGAAAAGAAAGGCAAAAAAAATACTGTTTTAATTCTATTAAGATTCCTTTGCCCAACACCCTGTGTAACTGCAAAAACAGCCAGAATTACTCGTGAAAATCATCAAATGGGTGAAGTACCAAGTTAAAAATACATGCAGCTATGAAATAAACACAGAGAAAAAACTCTAAAGAGTTATCTGTTTTTATATATATGACATTGGCTTTCTCAAAATAGCTAAAAATCAATACAGATTATTTGAGCCAAAAACATCCACCCACAAGTAAAAATATTTGTGTTAGGTTGGGACATGCAATTAGGGGAACTAATCTATAGTGTAAGGAACAGACACCAGACAGTGAACTCTAGACAGATTGCGAAACATAAAATTATGATTTTAGACAAGACAGAAGGGAGTCATTATCTGTAAGACCAACAGAATGATAGCCATATTAAATAACCAATTTTAGCTTTAACATCATAGTTAATATATAGTAGCATAAGTAATAGATATTATAGAACTCTAAAGATGTATTCTTTTAAATTTCCTTAATTTGAAAAGTAACATTTTGTAGAAGAAACAAGATCCCTGAATTAGATTCAAATTCTGACAGGCCAGTAATAATCTATACAACAAGTAAGTGAACAGGTTTAAAGCCAAATTTTGTGCTTTACAAACTATCTAGAAACTTGCTAATGAAAAAAAGTAAAAATTATGGGATTTATTACCTTAAACAATACTTTCAGCCAATGCATTAAAACATTTATATAGAAACTATCCCGATTCCAAATGTTTACAATATAATGGTATTTTAAGGCAAATTGCTGTACAATATATGATAATAATTATATAATATAGTCACAAGATGACCAGAACAATTACAGGAATGATCCATTTTGGGAAAGTGCATTTCTCTCTTGTATAAAATGTGCCTAAAAGGAATTGGGCACGAGTTAGTGACTAAACAATAAAAAAAGAAATCATACAGCAAATAAAAATCTTACTTTTAAAAATAAAAACTATTTTATTCAAGAGTCAATTTCAGGAACAAAGGTTGCTTTATTTTAAGGGCCATTTAGGAATCCTGAAATATATATAGCTTAAAATATGACTGTATAACTAATATTATTCCAATATTCTATTTGTAATAAGAGTGGTAGCTATTAATTTTAAAATTTAGAATATATGCTTTAATTTATTCACCTTGAGTTTCTTACACTGCATGTTAAAATTGCTCTATTTATGTATTAAGGTTATTATATTATTGACTATTAAAGTCCTTTAAAATTATTCATCACAATAGGTTTTTACTTTTTTGCTAAGGCCAGTTTTTAGAAAGAGTTAACTATTATATATATTATACATCCTAAAATTCTTATGTAAGAATACCATTGGAACTATTTATTCAAGTCCATAGGAAGGAGCTAATATGGATACTGCAACATGAAACTATTGAGAACTTCCAGTACAAACATACAGAAATAAGAAACCTACAGTTTAAAACATATTAAAATTTTAAAATTTTCCCTCCTGTACAGATTGCCTGAAAATAGTAGTTCCTGTTACTATTTAAACATTCTTCCAGCTTTTATCATAGTGATCACTGATTAAAAATGAACGTTTTCTATTTTGACCAAATGTTAATTTAAGAAGGGTAACAGTATCTCATATAGCCTACACAACAAAACCAGAAAGTAAGTTTATCTTGTTAACTTGTTAAGCTTTATGTAGAAAACATAAGAAGAAAAAGAGGACAAGAGATGTAGGCACAAAGGGCAGAAGTTCAGCCAGATGTTCTTACCAGGCGCTATCTGGAAGGGGCTGCCACAGCTGGCCACATTTGCGTGATCGGGCAAAGGCTACGAAGGGAAACACAAAGAGTCACCATATGACAGCAAGGATCAGCACTTTATAAACACGTTTAGTTCTGCAATTCCCACTATTAAACTTCTCGTAACAACCTAATTTCATTTATGAGATTCTAACAGCATTCAAATATGATGCCCACTTCCCAATTCCTATAGCATTCTCTCTAAGTAGACAACATTTAAGTTTTACCTCAAGGGAATCTTTCTAACATTTCAATTAAACTGAAAGCTGAGACAGTTGGGACAAAATAATCAATCAGAAAATGATTTACTCAAGCTTGATCACTAGACTTCCATATCTTGCCATCAACCATCAACTATTAACTATGATGTTTGACAGAGTTTTAAAATTTCCCATTTATGCTTTGCCCATATTAGATTAAAATTTTAAAGATACTTCCCTACCCCATGGGAAATGTGAAAATGCCCATGGAAATTTTTTTTACATTTTATTCATGAAAATAATTTACTTGTTTAGTTGGGTTCCATTTTTCTTTGCTGTATTTTTTTCAATTTTTCAAAAGCTCTCTGAATCAATGACAATATATTGTTAATTATTTATCTGTACGAAAGCTCTATTATTGAGAAAATGAGCAGGTATAAGATAGTTTTCTGAACTATGATTCACCAGATAATCTACATTCTAATATCTTCAAAAATCATGTCCCACAGAAAATTAGTGGAAAGTCCCATTTATGGCACCTTTATCCCTCCCCATCCTGTAATGTTTTGCTTTCAAATGCTGACAGACTAACATGTAGCCATGTTACAGGGGCGTATTTTCTATTCCAGGTCACTAGTTTTCTATTGCATAGCTTCATCTACTCAAAGAACATTACAACAACAAACTTGACTCTACCTTTCCTGCAAAAGCTTCATTAGGCCACATCCCATTCTTGGAAGTCTACACCTCAGTGTTCAAACTTCTGGATGGAAAAGATAAATTCTGTTCCTGGCTGCACCTGCAGGGACTTTGTGCTGCTATAATGTATTAATTTCCAGGCACATTCACCGTGGACTCCAGACCTAAAAAGAATCAGGAAGCACATGCTTCATATTCCACTGAATCACTCCCTTTTAATTTATATTTTGATACAGGAGCATATTGTCCTTGGTTTTTCAATTCAGGTCAACTCTCCTTAGGTTACAAGGATAGTCTGTGGAGGGAATTTCTTTGTACAGCTGTTTCTGCCCCTATTAAGAAAAAAAAAACATGGAAAAAGTACAGACCCAGAAATGCTTTACATTATAGGATGACTGGAAATTAAGATAGAAGTCATGCACACAAGCTTCAAATTGGTGGGAGAATAGGACAGCCTTTACCCTGGTTCATCTTATCCTCCAGTTGCACTGTTGCTAGATCTGGAGACTCTGCTCACAGATACTCATGCTTTAGTATCCTCTGTCTCGTTACGACACGCTGCACGTGGGGCTGTCTTTGGAAAGCATTCAGAAGCTTCAGCTGATCCATAACATACCAGCATGTGTCATATTGCATGTACCAAAGTTTGCCCATGTAATACTTCAGATGTGTGAGCTGTTTTAGTGTTCCCAGTGATCTTCCAGGTGCAATTCAAAGTATTGGCTATCACCTTTAAAGCTCTGCACGGCACAAGGCCAGATCACACATGAGCCTGCCTGTTTCCATTCATTTGTGCCCATCTCACCAGATCTGGCAGGGTAAGCATCTGCTGGATCCCTTTAGTGAAGGGGTGTCAAACTCACCTTGTCATGGTGGTGTCACGTGACGTATTGTGACTTTGCTAAACCGGGCGTGGGCATGGTCAGTGTGTGACGCATCTGGCCTGCGGGCCGCGAGTTTGACAGCCCTGCTTTAGTGAAATAGGATCATTATGCAGACATGAGGGACATTTCTTTTCTGTTGCCATGTCTGCCCGGTGGAACAACTTCCCCTTTTTAAGTCAGGATAGCACTGACCCCACTGGCCTTAAGGAAAGCTGTAATAAAACTAGTTTTTCTCATATAAGCATTAAAGCTAAGTTGTTAATGGAGTTTGATGTTAGTGAATTTGATATTAAGGATAAGGTGTGAGATACCTTGACTTTCATATTCTGCATATTACCGGTATATTTCACTGCTGTTTTTCATTTGTATTTATACTGTTTTTATTGTTTAGCACTGTGACCTATCCAGAGTTGTTTATTTAAGATCAGTGGCCATATAAATTTTATGAATAATAACTCTTAGAAAACAAGAAATTTCATATAAACTGAGTTTCTATATGTCTGCCATAAAGTCTGCATTTAGAAGCCTCTAACATTTAGCATGGAATGGTTCTGACACCAATTCTTGTCAATGTACATGTGCAGTTATTATAGCAAAATATTTGCTGAACGGTCATCCTATGGAAGCAATACACTTGGTATTTATTCCCTCAAGTAGCAGAATATTGTAAGATAGGAACAGGCAAGTAGCACCATCAGAAGGTGATGGCAACAGTGGTAACAGCAAACAAAACCAGGAGGTGAGAAAGGCCTGAAATAAACACAAGTTTTTCTAATTTTTCTAATTTATTCTATCATGTCATCAGAATTTTGTGAGAAGAGAATATGATAATACAAGCTGCTGCAACAAACTCTTAATACTTACCACAGGCTTATTATGTGATCCAAGGAAACAAATTTATACTTATCTGAAATTTTCCTTCTGCAAACTCCAAAATTTCAAGAACTTTGTTACCAGTTCACAGAATATTTCTTATCCTTACTATTCTTTAATCAAATTCAGTCTGCTTTCCCCATAAATGCTATCCCCATAATTGTTATGCTAAATCAAAGCAGAGAAGCATGTGGTTCAGAACTTATTTTAGCAGTGGCCAGCCAGAAGGCAAAAAAATGTTGTAAGTAGAATATATTAGCAAAATTCTTCCATCTGTTGTGACTACAGCTACCTATAGCCTATAATTTATTTGGTTTTTAAATTTTTTGTATCTATGTATTTTATTGTTTGGCTGAGCTGGCGTGCCCACTAATATGGCTCCACGTGCCACCTGTGGCACACATGCCATAGGTTCGCCATCACGGGTCTAGGAGATCAAAAATTGCTTCAGGTCTACTCAGTTTTATTTTTTCAGCAAGAAAATACCCTGTTGTTCAATGACAGTTGCTAATTGCAACCTGTCATTGAACAGGTTGTAATTTTTTTGACCTACCTGTTGCCCATCACAGGTTTATATGTATTTTTTTTAAAAAACACTTAGGCATACAGGTTACAGGTTCTCACCCATCTTTTCACATATTTGCTTTTAAGAACGTTCTGCATCTCCTGATTATTGAGATGAGGTGTTGGATAAAGTAAGCATGAAAAATTTCACAGACACTGATGCCTGCTCTCTCTAAATAATGGCCTCTTTAAAAATATCACATATCTACTGCAAAGATACTAGCAGTTTCTGAAGTTATTTTAGCTTTTTCAAGGTGCAGAAATGAAGCACAGATTATCTGACAAACAAAACTAAAGTAGCGCTTCCAGAGAAGATATAAATTACATAATAAACACCATTCTGTCTCTACAGAATCTAGCATACTATCGGTACTGGTTCTTACAGGCAATCCTCATTTAGCGACCTACAGATGAGATGGCAATTTGGTTGTTAAACAAAGCGATTGCTAAGTGGATGGTATATTGATTGGTCTTATGACCATATCAAAAATATAAAACAAAAATAAAATACAGGATATAAGTCCAGGATAAAATAGGCAAAAGGAAAATACAGTAATATATATGTGTTGAATATTGCTAAATGAAACCATGACTATGCTTATGATATTACTTTAGCTTTTCTTTGTTTTCCAGACCTGTGAATGTCAGAAATGGGAAAATTGGTCATAAAGTTATTTTTTCATTACCACTATAACTGCAAACAGACACTAAATGAGGCAGTCACTAAAGAAGGATTATCTGTTATTTAACATAAGCTGCCCAGAGTCGCTTCAACAGTAAGATAGTGCTGCACATAATTTTATAAACATAAAACAACAGAACCTTTTTTAGCTCATACAATAGGTTTGCACTAGATTGATAAATAAAAATATCCATTTGAGCTGCAAACTTATACCCTAAAGCTGTTTGTTAACTTCTCCTCAGTTTTAAAAACAGTTTACCCCATAACATGGACAAGAAGCTGTTCAAGATAAAGAGTTCAAAATCTCCTGATCCTGGCATCTGTAGTACATTGATGTTAGTACAATATTGTTAATATATTAGCAATATAATATATATATATTATAAAGAGAAGAAATCATACCAGGTTGATGCCGAATGATATGCATTTCAATTTCTCCAAGCTCTGCTTTTTGTAGCTGCTCAGTTATCAGTGTGATCATGGCTTCTTAGGAAGGCCTGGCATTTTCTTGAGACTCCAGCACTTGCCAGCCTTCTGCCTTCCTCAGCAAGTCCAGCTGTGTTTAATCATCATCAGTTACCATATCTGCTCATTCACAATCTAGCCAAATTCCATGTCATTCTCCTGATCCCTGCAGGAAACAGACATATTAATGAATCCTACTTGTTCAAGTCTGATCTGTTTCTTAAAGCCTGAATGTGCACATTGGTTTCTTCCTTGTATAATCCCTATCTGCAATACGCAGGGAGAAAGCAAAGTCTGACAAGCAAATCAGATTGCAAAACAGTATCTGTGTGTGTGTGATGGGGGGGTGGGGGGATATTCTGTCCCAAAGAAGTCCCAGAGCATAAACTACCAGTCAACCAGAAACATCCATGATTCTCTTATCCTCTTAAGCAGGACTCAACACCTTGTAGCTTCAGTGATGAATGAGGCTACTTAGGAACCTTTTTGCAGAAACACAAAAACTTTTGACTGTGATTCCTGAAAACTTAAAATACCATAATTTATCATTCAAAAGAAAAGTCTTAAATAGTGTCCAGAACAGTTTAAAAACCCACGTAAGCTAAGCCTCACTTACACATACCACATAGTCCCACTAAATATTCAAATGCTATAGATAGAAGTGATTGGCAGAGTCATCAATGAGTTTCTTGCTATCTGGGAATTTGAATGGCCTGCCTGTCTAAAATCAGCATTTACCTTTTTAATTTCATTCTTTTTTTTTTAATGTTTCAACAGACTCTCCTCCAAAGTTCCAATGCCTCATTTTGTGGCATTGTACCACAATGTACAAATTTGTACACAAAATGTACAAATCTAAGAAGCTAGAATCTCTTTTCTTATTTCAGTATTTATATCTCACCCCAATGAACCAGGTACAGTTAATAAAAATAATTAAAACAACTGCTCATGCCATAAAATTCAAAATATTTTAAGAGTTCTGATTAAAAGTAGTGAATATTGAACAGAAATTAAAAATAAAAATAATAAAAACCAACTATCAGAAATAAGGCAGTCAAATGATCATTAGCTACTCCTCAAATGCTCACTGAAATAAAATTCTCTTTACCATCTTCCTCAAAATAGATATTGCGGGGGTGGTCAGGGCTTCTGAGGACAAACTAATTGTAATGGGGCAGACAATAAGAAGACCTGTCTCCAGGCTCCCACCCCCTCACTCCTAATGAAGAAAGGATCCAAAGCATCCTCTCTCAGCATAAATATACTGTAAAAGCAGATTCTGTTTGGAGGAGACATTACTTAAGATATAGGGGCCAAAATCCACGGGACTTTAGTTTAATACCAAAATATTGAATTGTACTCAGAAACCTAGTGGCAATCAAAGCAAGCCTGCAAAATAAATATTCCATGCTAAAACAGCTCTGATCTGTTAGCAAGCGAGCAGCTTCCAAGTAGTTTTCAAGAGCAATAAACTAACCTTGAGGTGCTAAGGGCGGGAGTTACTGTAACCAACTTTTGTGCTCCAAAAAAGGCTGCAACTGGAATACCAGCTGTGGGTGACCAAAAGAAAATTTCTACTTGCTGATCAAACAGGAACCACACGTCCAGGAGAACCCCAAGATTTGCTCCTTCAGGGATAGACTCTCACAGTCTCAACCACAGGAATCTGACCAAGGTAAAGGACTGATCACAATATCTTCTATCTTCTAATTCAGGGGTGTCAAACTCACGTCGTCACAGCGGCATCACGTGACATATGGGACTTTCCCCTTCGCTAAAATGGGTTTGGGCGTGGCCAGCGTGTGACACATCCAGCCTGCAGGCTGGGAGTTTGACAGCCCTGTTCTAGCTCATACTTCATCTATCCTGAGGTAAAGGCTTCTTCCACATGAGTCAGGCCAAAAAAAGTCTGAGAAAAGTCTATGGTTGCAACAGAAGCTATGAATTCTTCATCCCATCCAGATCACAAGTCCAGGGCATGGAAACCGGAGTCCACCAGCTACCTCGAGTGGGAAGAATCTAATATCAGTGTTTTAACTTTAAGAGGAAGACAGTATGCCAGCAGTATACCTAATTTATCCCCACAACTCAACTTCAAAGAGTATAATTTGTGGGGCAGGACATTTGGTGACAACCAAGATCTCCTGTAAGATCATCACCACCATCAACCCCCTGAGCCTTGGAGCCATGGTTACAGAAGCATTCAAAGTGAGGGCAACTCTTAGACAGAACTACATATCCTTCTTTGCCCAATTAGGATCATTATCATGCCAAATCTAAACATTCATCTACCTCTTAATGTGGAATGTGGCTTTATTATATAGGCTTCTGGTATTCACGAACAGCGGCCTTAGACCAGGTTGTTAAGTAATCTGGTCTCCCATACCCAAAGAAGAGGTAATTGAGTTGAAAAATGGATTGGCACCTAAAGGCCAATCCCATCTCCTCCTTAAAAGGAGCTGTGGTGCCGCAGTGGTTAGAATGTAGTACTGCAGGCTACTTCTGTTGGCTGCCAGCCGTTTGATCCTCACCAGTGTCAAGGTTGATTCACCCTTCCATCCTTCCAAGGTTGGCAAAATGAGGACCCAGATTGTTGGGGGCAATATGCTGACTCTGTAAACCGCTTAGAGAGGGCTGTAAAGCACTATGAAGTGGTATATAAGTCTAAGTGCTATTGCTAAAACATCCTGCTCAAGGCATGCCTTCCTCTGCCATCACAGTGGTAATTTGCCCTTGCTCTTAACACTCACCCTTAAGGTCTCAGACCTCCTGCCCCCACCATATTTCCTATATAGTTAGCTATCCAGAGTTACTTTATATGGGTAGCCACATAATCCAATAAATAAATAAATACCTTCTTAAATATATTATGGCAAAACATACAATGCTTCATGATAAGGAAACCAAACGAATTACTGTATGCAAAAACATGAACAATCCCATAGTCCATGTGCTGTTTCTTATCAGCATTGCTCAGCATTCAATAAATTGGATTATAAATTACAGTCAACTATGTAATATTGCTATCTTTATCCCAATTTGAGATTCCTTTCTTCATTTGTATAACTAATCTCTCATGCTGTATTTTACTAAATTATTTACTTCAATTTTCAATATACTTTATTTGCTTTCGGAATACCTTGCTAATTTACCATTTTGTTTTGTACAAGTTAATGAAAATTAACAATACTATTTGTTTATCAACATAGACAAACTTTGTTATGTATTTTTTTAAAGTGAGCAAAACAATTTTTAAACTGTAGCAGAGAAAAACTATTTGTTTCATTCATTCTTAGTAAAAGCAGATTAATGGTTAAACAATACTTTGAATATTGCAAAGTTCAAATCCTCTGCACATTTTACCTATAAATAACAGTAGCTAAATGTGTCTTATGTCTAAGTACATAGCAACAGGTTTTCATTGCAACCAATCTAGTCTAATCCAATACATATCAGCATACTTGCTGATTTCAATAAAGCTTACTTTTGAGGAAGAATAGTATTTTTGTCAATATATAGAGTAATCTAGTTCACAAATCATGCTGTCCTAACATCTTTAAGAATAATATGTTGATTAAACCACAATCAGCTATTTGTACCAAGCTATAAATGATAATTCACAAATCATTATGGCTAGGTGTACACTACATTTGAAGTCAAAACAAAATAAGTTTATGGGTTAATTTTATAAACTCAATTAATTATAACTATTCAAGGATTAGTATAACTCACTCATCATTTAATCACAAGTGACTATATTTCAGATTAAAATAGTTGGCAGCCTAACATCTATCTTAAAGAAATTAGAAAAAACAGGAAAGATCTAATGATTTTTTTCTGAAACCATACTTTATTTTTTTAATGTTTCATTTCTTAATTATTTTTTAGTATCTTTAACTTCCATAATATCCTTTCTGCTCAAATATTAATAATAAAAGTGATACAAAAAAACTTTTTGCTATCATGGGTGAAGGGGCTCCATAGATTTAGTAGCCTTATCATTTAAAGTAAATAATGATTACATATCTCAATGATAGAGAAAGATAGAATTCTAAAGACAAAAAAATACTGTACAAAGGAGAAAGGGCTTTTATTAGAAATCTAGTACTAATTTAAGTAGATTTGCTCACATTCAGTCTCTCCATCTTCCTCTTCTTACCGCCCGGTTTTATTCTCTTCTTCATTGCTTGCTTTAAATGTTAAGGTCTTTTAGGTTGGACACCTACCCCCTTGTTTATATTTGCTTTTGAAATTCAGGGAAGTAGAATATACTAGTGGTGCTAAATAAGTAGAAACAATAAAATGCATATTCAAAAATGTTAGATTCATTAAGAATTAAGAGGGCTATCTAAAAATACCTTTTTATCCTACATTTTAAAGAGATACCTACAACAGTTCAGTTACTATTACAAATTAACTGCAATTGTAAATTGAGGCTTTGTTCACACAACATGCAAGCCCATAATTAACCCAGCTGTCTGGGTACATAGTGCACACTAACCAATAAATTAAATATACAGTACTGGCTGGGTTTGCACAATGCAGCGAGTCACACACTTTATTTTACCCTAGCAAGTTATGCAAAACCAGGCTTACTTTGGAGCAAATTAATTTAAGTTAATGGAACTTGTTCCTCTACCTTTCTACGTTTTCCATTTCACTTAACAGAAATAACCATTAAAATCAACATTACACTTATCATACATAGGTGTTTATAAAATTTCCTCAAGTTTTTCTGGGCTAAATGTGTCTTAGATGCCAATCTAGACAATTTATATTAGCTCTATTTTAAAATTAATCAAGAACTGTAATCCTGATTCATTTAGCAGTTAATAGAATATACTAGATTTGCATCTGAAAGAAGTTCAGACCTCTCTGCTCAGTCAGGGAGCCTACTGGGTGGCCTTGAATAAGTCAGTATCTTTCCACTATTTCCTAACTATTAGGACTATTGTGAGAATCAGCTAAAACATGTACTATAATCTTCCACAGACCTCAAGTAAATAATGTAAAAGAAGTGTGGAAGAATAAGTAGAATTTAAATCTCGTATTATCTGGAAAACACCTCCTGATTATTCTTCACGACTGTTAGCCAAAATTATTATTTTGCTTCATTTCCTGTTCTGCAATTATACACTGCATCTTCCTGTACTCCTCCTTATTTTAATAGCTTCAGGTCATGGGCCTTTAAAAGGCTCCAGATAAATGAAGCCATTTTACTTGATGCCTTTTAACATTAAAGCCAAGCATGCCAACAACCCTTTTTAAAAGAAAGTATTTTCTTTTGCAGTTGCTTTCTCATCCCGGTCTCTAATTTGATTTCATTCAGTTCCTTCAATTACATAATTACCTACTTAGTAAGCACAAATCAAGAGGTAGGCCTTAAGCAACCTCAGGGTTCCCTGCTGCAAAGACACACATACTAGTAAGGCTCCACACGCCAAAAGACTGTATCACAAGCAGTGGGGATTCGACTGCTTTTAAGAATGGGTCCCATCAACCTAGTTTTAGAAATGCATCCACAGGGGACGCAGTCTCTTAACAAAGCAGGCCCTGTTCCACCCTCTTCTGAAGGAGCCAATCACCTCCTCCCCACTTCTCCACCGAGGCCCTCCATTCCACCCCAAATTCCCATACAGATTCACCCACTTAGAGACAACAGCCACCTCCTTGCCCGAAATCCCCACCTTGCTTCTCTCTCTCTCTCTCTCTCTCTCCATCAACCCCCCCCCTCCCGCATAAAAACAAAACCACCCCGACTTCCTTTTTTATGACAACATGTCCACAAGCCCCCCATCTCTTCACAAAGACCATCCCACCTTAGCCTGCTGCTGCTTTCCCACCTCACGCCCAGTGTGTTCCTCCCCCCTCCCCACATCCCCACATTACCCACTCAAGCTCTGCAGCCCCTTCGGCACGTACCGAACAGCCGATCCCTCCCCCGCCCCCTCGCGCCTGCTGGAGGGGGCGGCAGCTCCAACACCTCGCGGCGGCTCAGCCAGAGAAGTAGTGCGCCCCAATAGTCTCACGCGCCCCCCACTCCCTATTCTAAACACCGCTGGAACCAACCATCCAACTGAAGGGAGATTGCCTCCTGGAGTCCCAAGCACTGGCACCCGCTGCCGGCCGGCCCTCTCCGTCTTCCAGCTGCCGCCCCCACCCGGCGGCCCGGGCTCCCAGCCCCCCGCCAGGAGCCTCCGCTCCCCTTTCCGTCGGGAGTGGATCGACCTGCTTGGGCCGAACCAACCACACAACAGTGGGGGGGGGCAGGGGGTCAAATATCTCGGGGGCAATCGAGAAGGCAGTTTCAGAAACAAGACTCACGCATCCGTCCGGAGCTAACACACGCCTCCCTCCGGCTACGCAAAGATTTCTATCTTTTACGAGGCACAGTCTCGGCCCCACAAGTACATCCCCCCCCCCATGGACCGTACCACGTAGCAAAGTATGACGGGATACGTAGTACAATGTGGTGGGGTGGTTGTTTTTTTTTTTTTTTTTACTAGAATGGACAACCTTTGGATGACTGGGGTGCAATTCGTTCTTTGGATTTCTGCCGAGCAAACAGGCATGGTTGAAATTCTGAGATTGCGCAACTTTATTAAATACATAACATTTCCGAATTCATATTTTATGGTAAAAAATATATCTAAAATATAGCTTGACAAGCATGTCAAGAGTATTTTGCTTTCTACCAGACATCTAATTCCTATCTGAAATTGCACAACAGCCAGCTGAGACTATTACTCTTGAATGTTGACCCTTCCATTAAGAAAAAAAAAGTATCTCCAAGTCTATTTATAAAAAGCATAAACAAACAGCTATTACCCTGATTGGAACAAAGTATGACAGATTGTAGGAGTGTAATGAATAATTACAGTGTACTCCAACATTTGTTAAGTTTCAGTAAAGCAAATATTTACTTTCAGAAGAGTACATAACTTGTATTAGCACATGCTTACTTATGGTTAACATAACCCAATCAATGTGTTTTACTACCCACCTACTAAACACATGGGCTGAGTTTGCAGATCTACAAAGCTAAAATGTGGTGAGCTAATTTCTAGTTCTATATATCATATGAATATAGTTCTAGAATTACAACTTTACACTATCATCATGTCTAAAGATTGACAAAGTGGCTGTATTCACGCAACTGTAATGATGTGATTTTGGTTAGTGTTATGTGAACCCACTTATTATGCTTTAACTTGCATACACAGGTCACTGTAGTTCATTCAAAAATAAGAGTCTGCTCAGTACATTGTGTGAACCAGTCATGGTGTAAGACCAGGTTCCTCGTTTTTTTTTTTTCCCTGAAAGCAATTTTAAATAACCAAATGAAATTCAATACTATAAGCTCAGGCAAAGATATTCCAATGATTCTGTTGCTTGTTGTCCACTACAGTTTCTAGTAGACAGCTGTCTGAATATTCCTACAGAGGGCACACTTATTCAGATTTAACAGAAATGGAATAAAACACTTTTATCCAAAAGGAAAGATGCAAATTGTACCCCTTAACTCTTATAATGAACCTAACACTTTTTGCCATGCCTCACCATACACAAGTAACATTCATATTCAAGCAAATAAAGGATGTCAATTAGGAATCAAATACAAAATATGTTATTTTATCCAACTACAGGGCATGTGTGAAGCAGACAGGAATTAACCAATAACAACCCAAGTGACAGAACATAAGCTCAGAGCAATTTAATTACCTGTACATAGTTCAGAACTTTGATTCTCAATTTTCTTACTGCAACTAACAAGCCATAATGCTTTAGTAGCAATCATCAATTGCTTTGTACACTTATAATAGGAATATGAATAATGGAGAGTCAATAGGAAATGCTTTGTGTTCTAGCTAAATAACAATTACTCTACATAGAAAGCTATCAAATATAGAAATGGAAGATAATCTTGTTATAAAATAATGGACTTTGTAGCAAATTGAGTGACAATACAGGTGGACCACAGTGGCCAAAAAAATAATCCTTGAAATCCTTGAGAAGCTCTAAGTCTTCTCTTTTAGATCACTGACTGCGTTGGGATCCCATAAGAAGAAAACAAGAGCCAGGAGTCAAATGGACAGTCTTCAGCATCTTCCTTGATATGTTCCATGTTGGAGAGTGTATCCTGAAGCAGCGGATATAAATGGCCAGAAGAGGACAATCCAGAAATCTATGGGAGCAGAACAATAACATTAAATAAGTAGTCTAACTTAGTGACTGGTCTGAAGATGTCATTTTAAAAAAGGAAGGTTTTGTGTATGTCCATAATACTAAGCCCATACTTAGAATCTTATGTCACATAAAGATATAGAATGCTCAGCTCTGCTTAGCATTAAATACAGGTTATGATTTTGTTCACACATTGTCAAGTCCTTTTGTTATTTAACTATTCCAAAATAAGGCCATATAGAATATAATTAAACAAAATCCCAATACCTGTTCTCCTAGGACTTCTTCACAAATATTTTCCTGAATACACTGAGCATCAAACCAGTCATTTGGGAAATTAGACCAAAGATCCATTTTGGTCACCAGCTCCTGCCTTGCAAAACAGAGCAGGTTGTTCATACTAAGCCAGGCAGCAAATGCATTAAATAGCTTTAAAGCCTAAACTGGAAAAAAGCAATCTGCAGTTGTCTATCTTAACAGTTGGTTTAGACCTCCAGAAAAAGCTGTCTAGGTTTTTGCTGACAACTCATTTAGAGCCCAGAGAGAAAAGAGGGTGACCCAGTCACTTTGGACTGTTCCCTTGCCAATTGCCATGTGGCCCTTCAAAACATTTTTCGGAAATTCAGTCTTAAACCCACAAAATGTTCCATACTCCTATCTTAGAATCCTATCTTAGAATGCAAATAAAAACCCATTGGAAAAATGGAATAGGAGTAGTTGAATGTGTCAGCCTAAATGCTTCTACCTTCTGCCACAGAATGGTAGCCAATATATAGGCAACCCATGGAAATTAATGGAATGAAAATATAAAATGGTGTTTTACTCACTTCTTCCTTCTTTTCTCATATATGTGACCCTTCTCATTTTCCACCTTAATATAGTGCAAAATACTCCCAGCCTCTGATGGGCACCAGAATCATTTGCTCTCACTGAAGAGCATGACAACTCTGTTGACAATTAACTCTGTCTCCATGGTGATAAGGAATACCAAGGAGAGTGCATATGGACTGGAGACTAGGCCTGCAATTCCTGAATAGTGTGGGAGCATTACTTTATAAGTGGCTCACCAGGTGCTGGCAGTAAATATTGCACAATAAAGGTGGCTATTTACAATATAGAATTGTGTTTAAAAGTGAACCTGCCAAACGATGGATTTTATTAATAGGTTTCTGATAGCAAAATATCTGACCGGAGAAGTATATGGTTGGGTGTCTCTTAATTTACTTTTACAAATTTCTGCTCAAGCCAAGTAAGCATAATTAGGAATCTAAGGGTCTTCCTGGACTCATAGCTCCTACTTAATGAACAAGTGTTAGCTGTGGCCAGAAAGATTTTTGCACAACTCCATCTAGTGTGCCCCTTACACTGTTTCCTAGATTAGGGGGTCCTTCAGACAATCATTTATACTCATGTCACCTTGTGATTTGACTTCCACAACACACTGTACATGAGACTGCCCTTGAAAACCACTCAAAAGCTCCAATTGGTCCAGAATGAAGCATGCCTCTATCTGCCCATATAATATCTCTACTTTGCAAGCTGCACTAGTTGCCAGTTTGCAACTCGGTTTGATACAAGGTGCTTGTTGTTATGTATACTTAAAGGCATAGAGCTGGTTACTTGAGGGACTGCCTGCCTCCCATAGCATCGGCTTCACCAATTCAATTAAGATGCTCCCTGGAACAAGGATCCCAAGATCTGGATGGCCCCCACTCTGGTTTAGAAGAGCCTGAAAAACTTTTCATCCAGGCCTTTGGTGAAGGGGAGTAACACTGCTTGCTTCATTGCATTTGCCATCTTTTAGCTTTAATTGCTTTTATTGTAATTTTTGTTTTTGTTGTTTATTTGATTATTGTGAGTCATTCAGATTTGTTGAGAGTTGGGCAGCATTTTTATTATTAGAAATACTTCCCTCTCATGTCCAGGTGGATCCCAACCATGAAGTGCCCTTCGCCAAAGCTTAATCTGCATGTCCCACGAACGACGACTGTACTTTTTATATTTATTTGGAGTACAGGGATGAATACCTGACTGACGAGCCATCCTAGAATGAAGCATGAGAAATTAAAAGGCACCTCAAGGCCTCCCAAAGAAGGAGCACAGAGAAAACTGTTAAAGCAAGTCTTTCAAAGGTCTTTACCTCAAGACCAGATTCAAAAATGAACAGCCCAAATATCAGAACTTTGAAAAGAACTGCTAGTGATGACCACAATAAGAGCCCACCCAAGCTTTTGTTATGTAGAAGTCTAACAGTTACTGCTTACTTGGGAACCTGTTGGACAAAGTGCTGGTAACCAATGGTATTTTTCCCATAATCTATCTGCTTTTGCCTTCTTCGCAAGACAGCCTCATCTGTCTCTATATAAGTTCTACAAATGGAAGGAAAAATGCTAGACAGAGAAACATATCAATAACTTAATAAACTATAGAAATATCTCTTACAAAACTTACCCAGATCCTGGACAGGATTTTCTCACCCAGTCGGACCTTGTACCTACCCCCACACTCACCATCTTTACTTCAGGTGAGAAAACCTGAAACGACCTATTTGAAGAAAATAAAAAAGTTGGATTACTGAACATGGAGACACAATGCATTTGTATCTTAACTTTCCATTTGTGAAGTCACTATTCTTCAAATATTCACAGAGCAAAAGAGATCAAGTGAGACTTTCACAGAATTTGGAAAAATGCAACTGATTTCTACACATTAGAGATAAAGAAGAAGTTGATGGTAAGAGCTCTCTCAATATGTAATCTTTTTCTCTGGAAAAAGAATTGAAGCATCAAACCTTTAAAAAAACTATCAACAGTAAGAACTGATCATTGGAATTAAATGTTTTCTAATTTCAGATCATTTAAAATCAGGGGTTATTTCTTTCTAAGACACTGGTAGAATTCTGAGCACACAGCATTGATAACCATCATTAAATGGCATCCATGAGGTTTATGGCCAGTAAAAAATAATGCATTTACTAAAGGGCGAACTTGTGAGGTTGTTCTCCACCTGCTCTTTAGCTCCGTCCCCAAGTTATTCTTTACCTTTTTCTGGGAGACATGGATGCACTCCTAAATAATGCACTGGGCTGCATTTATTTATCTTTTTAGCCTCCATGACTACATATCAAGCCTAGAGGCATTCTAATGTTAGATTCAGGGACTTCTTTGCTGCATATCAGTCTCTAGATCCTTTTCATTAAAGTATTTTTTTTGAAAAGTAGTCCTTAGAAAAGAAAGCTTAGAGGATTCAAGAAAGATGTCTGCAGCCACACACCTGCCTGAAGAAGGAAAGAAGAAAGCAGGTTCTACACAAAGTCGTGGCTTTCTCAAGAACAGATTCTAATACTATGTTTCTCCAAAAATAAGACCCTGTCTTATATTTTTTTTGAACCCCGAAATAAGCGCTTGGCCTTATTTTCGGGGAGGTCTTATTATTTTGGGGTGCGTGGAGCAAGATGGGGCTCCTCTTGCCGTCTTACCTGATTTCCAGCTCTGCATTTAAATATTTTTGGGGAGGGCTTATTTTCAGGGGGAGGCTTATTTTAGCGCATGCGCTCAAAAGCCCAATTGGGCTTATTATCAGGGGATGTCTTATTTTCGGGGAAACAGGGTATATAGTTCTCAACTTACAGCAGTTCACTTAGTGACCCTTCAAAGTTTCAACAGCACTGAAAAAGTGAATTATGACCTTTTTCATACAACCGTTGCAGCATCCCTGTGGTCATGTGGTCAAAATTCAGATGCTTGGCAACAGACATATATTTATGGCAGTTGCAGTGTCCCAGGGCCATTTGAATCCCTTTTGCGAACTTGTGACAAACAAAATCCATAAGGAATCCAGATTCATATGGGATAAAACTCATGTAATAACTGTCTTGCTTAACAATGGAAATTTTGAGTTCAATTGTGGTCATAAGTCAGGGACTACCTCAGGGATGAAATCTAAAAAATTTTGCTACCGGTTCTGTGGGCGTGGCTTAATTAGTGGGCGGGGTTTGCTGGTAAGGTGACTGGGTGGGCGTGGCCAAGTCAATGTCACTTCTTTGCCCTTTTTAACCTACAAAACACAACACAACACAACTGGCTCACGCACAATGTAAAAGCAGCCCAAAATGGCCCCGCAACAAGCAGAAACCTCACACAGCCACAAAAAGCCCAAAAAACCAACTTTCACACTTTACACACACAAAATTCCACATACAGCTTTGTGAGATTTTGTGTGTTTGTGTAGTTAGAGTGAAACACTACAGAAACACACTAAATCTCAGAAAGCTGCACAAATAAAATAAAATAATATTTGTGCAGCTTTTTTTATTTTTATATAAGCAGCTAAATTTAAAACTTCCTAAACTTTAAATGGCCAGGTTTAAAAAAAGAACAACTAAAAAAAATCCCAATTAACTATTTTTTTTAAAGTTCCCAAAGGGGAAAAAACTTACCCGATAGAAAAGGGGTCTCCAACCTTGGCAACTTTAAGACTTGTGGACTTCAACTCCCAGAATTCTTCAGCCAGCTTTGCTGGGAGTTGAAGTCCACAAATCTTAAAGTTGCAGATAGAGCTGCTCACCGATGAGCTTGATTGCAGGCAGGGAGATTCAGTTGCTTGCTGATGCAATGGATTGCCTTGCGACCAGCAGCTAAGGTAAGCAAGCTGGGGGGGAGGGAGAAAAAAAGAAACTTTCTTTTCCTTTAAATGGGTCTGACAATCCAAGCTGAGTTGCCTGATTAGCAGAGCTAATTAGCAGATCGTCAGAGCTTGGATCATCAGAGCTTGGCTGGTCAGAGCCATTTAAAAGGAAAAAAAGGCTTTGATGATCGCACGGCTCAGCTGGGCATGGGGGGCGGGGGCAGGGACTTTTGCTACCGATTCTCCGAACTGCCCGCCGCCATCGCTACCTACTCGTCCAAGCCGATCCGAACCGGGAGCATTTCACCCCTGGACTACCTCTATTATATCTTTTGTTATCCCATGCTTTTTTTGTCTATACATCACACACTTGGAATACTCAAGTGGATTTAGGCTTTTTATTTAACACAGTAAATCTAGTTTACAACATAATCCAGTGATCTTTACTTGGGCTATTGACTTCAAAATGTAGTGGAAAAACATTATGTTCAATACAGTGAATGAACAGTGGGGGGAAAGACTTAAATGAATATTCTACCTACAGACTTCTCATAGCCTTAAACAAAGCACAGTTGAAGTGGCATAAAAGCACTCAACACAAATAATTTTGTGTAGAAATGGCTAAATATTAAAGTACCATGATCTGCGATGCAGTTTGTCACTCAAAAATGTTACTGCTGCATGTGGCAACTCTGACTAGAGTTATATTATTAACATAGAGGCTCATCTACTGGATGAAGATCTGCAATTCATTTTGAACCACACGTTCTGTTTAGGCAAGAATCTATTAGATTGTAATTTAAATGAAAAGCCTTCCACACCATTTCCATTTCATCTCTGATACATCCAAAACAATTAATGTCACTACTGCCACCACAAAAGCAAAATGTACAAAGATTATTATGCATCAATCTGTGCTTCCTCCAATTGATCTACAGAAGAATGCAATATCCATCATGCAAGCAGAACTTTGTCCTCAAAGTAATTACATGTTCTGGAATACAGTAACAATTGTCTTCATACCCCTGCTCCAGTCCTGTCCATCCATGTTGCTAAGATGGGGAGCTTTGTAAACATCCAGACTATCCCTCCACAGGTATTCTGCTGAATTTAAAAACTGGGAGTACTAGGGGAGGAACCTGAGAATTGGGATAGCTCTTAGCAGTTGGAAAAAGACCTCTTAAAGGCTTCACAGAGAACTTCTGAGGAGAAGCTCCTGTCACTTATTCCAGAGATACTCAAATATTGCAGAAACTGTGCAGCAAAATACCTGTGCCAGCCACCTGAGAGAGAACCTTGAATAAGATCTGCCTGTCAGAAAAAAGTAGAAACAGAGTACATCCACCATATTTTTCTCTCTAAGGCATTGTTATCTTTCTCTAACATATATTTTAAAACTTGAAAATTAAACAACCACCCATTTCCAAGTGAATCTCCTAATTTCTTTAAGCATTAATGCACTGTTTTCATAAAGATTCCTTCTTCACAAAAAATAATGGGCCATATTAACTTTTATTATCACTTTTGAATGAAGTTACATTTTTAAAGATAGTTGAGATTTTTAAAAATGTCAGGGCACTGATGGAATCACTGGTTGTTATTGATATGGTCTTTTGAGTGAATCTTGACTCCAGGTATCTAAATAAAATGAAGATTGCCCCCACTTCTTATCTAACTGGTGTGTTCCTTTTATAGTAGTATTATACATAGAATGGGGAATATTTTATCTTTGTCCTGCCCTTCTTTGAGAGAATCCAAAGTGATTTGCACAAATTTTCCATCTGGTAAAATGTATTCTCAAAGGTAAAATGCATTATTAAACTTAGAAAAGATTTGAACTATTTTCATGACTTGGAACTGTTCACTTTGTTATTCTTATTATCTGACGTAGCCTCATTCCAGGACATGGCCGCTAACTTTCTCACACATATCTCACCTGGTTGCAGCATCTTTTAGGCATCAAACAGAAACCAGTTTAATACCCAGCTATTTTAGGCAATAAGATTTCAGCAAGTCTTTTAACTTTTTTATTGACTTTATATTGTAAACAGTATGAAAATTCAAAAACATGACTAATTTATAGATGCTTTAGCAAGCATCTGTGTAATTTTCCCCAATTTGAGATTTATGTAGATAGTAACTGACTAAAACATTGTGCTCAACACAATATCCAACTTCAGAAACTTCCAAACACTTCTGAGACATCAAAGACTGAAATCATAACATTCAACAGAAACATTAGTTGTCCACTCACACCTAGAATAATAAGTCGTTCCTAATTGTTTGCCTACATAAACTATGTTTTACATAGAGCCAACGGATTTGGGCTTTTCTTGAGGCTTCAAAGAAATATCCTAACTTTAGACTCCTATTATGTTAATAATGCAACTTCTCTTCCCAGTTTTGTTACTTATAAGTTCCTTTCAAACACAGTTTGAAAGTTTGACTGCAGTAAGTTGTTCTTCGCTGAAATGTAGCGGTTCTTCCAGCATGGACAGCCCAGGCAAATTTCAACAAATAAGGAAAAACATCATTGCAATATAAAACTAGACTTAATCTTCAAAAATGTTTACCCACTCTAGCCATTCAGACTGACAGGCTCACAAATTGGCACATAGCCCTTAATGCAAGTAGATTGTAAGTTATAGGAGAAAAAAAAAAGATAGGCAAACTCTGCTGAGTGTTCCCAATCACCTAACGCAACTCAAACACTTAGTCTACTGAAACAGTATAGTTAGTCCTTGACTTACCACAGTTCATTTAGTGACCGTCCAAAGCTACAATGGCACTGAAAAAAGTGACTTATGACCATTTTTCACACTTACGACCATGAATTACATTTGGATTCTTGACAACTGACTCACATTTATGACGGTTGTGAGGGTCCCAGAATCATACAATACCCTTTGGCAACTTTCTGACAAGACAAGTCAATGGGGACTTAACAACCAGATTCACTTAACAACCATGTGAATAATTTAAGAACGGCTGTGATTCCCTTAACAAATGTTGCAAGAAAAGTCACAAAATGGGGCAAAACTCACTTCGCAATATAAAATTTGGGCTCAGCTTTGGTCGTAAATTGAGGACTACCTGTAACGTTCCCCAATTAGGAAGCCAGACATTGCACTCCGTCTCAGCAGCCTCCACCCCGCTCACTTTACCGACCCAGAGAGGTAAGAAAACGGGAGAAGGTCGCCAAGTTTAAAACGAAGCTCCACCCAACACCCGAAATCTAAAGGCAACTACCGGCCAGTTACGGCAGTCGAGATGTCCGACAAAGAATTCGGAAATTGCATGATTGGCCCCCGAATCGGAGCACCCCCTTCCAAAAATCCTTATGGGCGTCATTAAACGCGGCTTTAAATCTCCCTCCAGTAAGCAGGGAGGGCGTGGCTTTTTGCAGACCTCCGGCCTATCGCAGAGTAGGAAGAAAAAAGGAGGCGGATCTTCGATCCGGTGATTGGCTGGGCGAAGAGTAAGACACATGGGCGTTATCTCCCGAACGCAGCGCGGACAATAACACACGTGCATAAAAAAAACCCCGCCTACCCATCCAATCAGCCGCGCGCGCCACCGTCGACGTAAGGCCGTCGGTTTGCCAATAAAAAAGCTGTTGACTCCGAGACTGAGGCTCTTCTCGCTCGAGCGTTCGAGGGTTGGTCGGTCAAGAGAAAGAGGTGATCGGGATTGGCCGGCGCAGCGGCGATAAATTTTAATTTCTGAAGTGCTGTGGAATTTTCAGCTCGCCTTATTTTTTTTAGGGGCGGGGGGTGGGGAGGGTGAGAGGGAGGAAGAGATTTCACAAGAAGGGAGGGGGGGAGGCAGAAGGGGTGCTGTACCTCCCGAGGTCCTTTGCCGTTCTTTGCAATGGCTCTGCTGGGTTGGGGGTGATGGAAGTCCAAGTCCAAACCATCGGGGAAGGTTTCTCGGGTTGTCCGCAGCTGATCTTTTTCTCTTGCCCCGGAGAACGAGGGAACAAGCCTTAGTTTGTTTTGGAGGCGGGGTATTCTAGCTTGCGAGCCAGCCGTCGATGCTGATGATCCAAAATTCCGTCTGAAAAATTCAAAGCTCTCGTTTCCCTTTAAGAAAGGCAGCCAATCATTCTTTCTCAGCCCAACTTATTATCTTGCAGAGTTGATGTTGTGGGGGGAAAAATAGGCGGAAGCGGTATTGGGTATGTTTGCTGCTATCAGTTGCAAAAAATAATGTAGGCGAGATTTAAACAAAAAAAAAAAAGTTAAACTGGACGTATCTTTTTAGCCTGATTGTTACTAGCTTCCTTGTTTGCTGTTTTCCTAGTCTTATCTCTCAGAGCTTGCTGCTGCATATTTCAGTTTTTAGGTACCTGATTGTGAGCTCTTAAATTGTGATTATTACAATAAAGAGACAGGCTTGTAAAAAAAGGAAGCTGCTGTTTTAAGTGGTGTCTTCGTAGCGATCAGTAAAGCTACCTGAAAATTATCCCCTTGTAGAAATTATTATTTACTCCTTTTAGGTTTCAATCTAGCTACAGGATGGCACTGAATATGATCCAGGATGTCAAGATATCTCTGCCGTTTACTCCAGAACCACCTCTTACTCCTGTGTTGAATCTCACTTGGGATTTCCAAAACCTTAGCACTTTAGCAGGGTAATTTTTTTTCTTGTTTGATGCAATAATGTGGGGTGGAACATTTTCTCTTTTTTCCAAAGGTGTGGCACAGAATTAGCTGGGAAACTAATCTGAAATTTTAATTCTTTTTAAACAATCATATTAGGGAATACTGTATGCCCAAGAACTATAAATGGCAGTCCATTTATAAAAGTTCCTAAATCCATGGTTAGGCAATATATTTAGTTTCAGGAAAAACTAAACATAGCTAAAACATGAATAAGTGGTCTCCAGGTCTTCACCAGACATAAGTAGGTATAAAGACTGTGCATATTGGGTCACTATATTTACTTTATAGTTTAGATAACATGCCAACTTTGAAAATGACTACACTGAGTTTGGTAGTTGTATAAGGGGGAGGTTTATGAACTACCTGTAACTCATCCTGTGTATAATCTTGGTTGTTAAGCAAACCCAAGAGCATTTAGATGGTCAGAGAGGGTGACTTGTCACGGATCCTCTGTTTAACCAGCAGTAAATGATAAGATTAATAAACTGCAGCTTTGAATTATAGGGGAAGAGGGAGATTTTTAAAAATTCCATTTTGGGGTTCTGACCCTTTACATCTAATCTGGGAGCCATAAACTTTAGTCTACTGTACAGTGTACAGTCAAACTTAGCCATTTTCTCACTTCTTTATATTGGTTTCAATGACACTTGACTAAATTGGCTTTGATCCAATCTTAAGTACCATCTTAGGTTAGATGTTATCGTCCGGGGATATATTAAAATGGGAAGTTTGAGCCTGGTTTAGCTCAACAGACAGAAGCACTGTAATTTAACAATGTCTGGTAAGATCGAATCCTGCCAGGCTCAAGGTTTAGCTCAATTGAGACAGAAGCTGACTGTAATTTAACTTAACACAGCTGTCTGCATGTATGTTAAATGTAAGATCGAATCCATGCCAAGGCTCTAAGGTTGCACTGCGGATATGTGTATCTAGCTTCCTGTTCACAATTTGTAGGGATACACCAAGGCGTTGCTTAGACCTGTCCAATCTCAACAGTGGAGAAGAGGAAATTGCTTTCACCTTCAGCCAGTCCCCAGCAGCACTGGAGATTGGTAATAATTGCTGCCTGCTATAGAGTTTTAGTTCTGCTATTAGTAAGCAGTTTGATCAGCATGCAGGTAGTCCTCAACTTACAACAGTTCATTTAGTGACTGTTCAAAGTCACAATGGGACTGAAAAAAGTAACTTATGGCTGTTTTTCACAACTCTTGCAAACATTCCCATGGTCATGAGATAAAAATGTGATTCATATTTATGACAGTTGCAGTATTCCAGAGTCATGTGATCCCCTTTTGCGACCTTCTGACAAACAAAGTCAATGGGGAAGCCAGATTCACTTAACAACCGTGTTGCTAACAATTGCAGTGATTCACTTAACAACTATGATAAGAAAGGTCATACAATGGGGCAAAATTCACTTAACAAATGTCTTGCTTAGCAACATAAATTTTGGGCTCAATTGTGGTTGTAACTTGAGGACCACCTGTACCTATAAAAGCAAGTTTTGTTGTCATAGATAAATCATTTCATCTATTATATCACGGGTGTCAAACTCGTGGTGTCACGTTGCCATCATTATATAAACTGTAGTATTCTAACCAGTTTAGGCAATTATTAGAACTAAAGCTATGAGAAATTCTGCATTAAATTGATTTTAATAACCTTAAATCCAATTATCTGTATTATCTATTTTATTTAATATATTTGTTTCCCAAGTAGTATATTGATACGTTTATAGATCATAATAAACGTAGCAATAAACCCAAGCCAGATAGATATTCATGTAAATTTCACGCTATATTCCAGGTTACAAAAAGTGTAGGGTTACTTGCCTGCATACATAGCTGCCTCTTATCTACTGAAGTACAGTACTCCACTTACAGTTTACTCTCAAGAAAGTTTATAAAATTTCATTTTTAAAAAAAATTACAAAAATTACAAACCGCTCCTTGATTTCACCACTTAAAGTATATTATCTATGTAATTTCTTATATGATAAGCTTGGTTTTATAGAGCTATGTGATAGGCTTGTATTTATGGTTTGGGGGGCTCTAGCAGTCTCTTAAACAATTGAATATATTTTGCAAGCCTATATTCCATATTGACTGGACTTCTTTAGCTGAACCAAGATAACTAATTTTCAGATATGAAAGAAGATGACTTAATCAGTTCACTCTGATTTAGATTCCTTAAGCTCAAGTGTATGTACTATTTAATAGTATAACCATTCCTAGGTTTTCAGGCTTCTATTTTCTCACTTTGTGACTTGCAGATAAAAATAACTTAACAGAATTCCAGGATCAGCTGTAAGTTCTACCTACTGATTTTATAGCTTACCATATTAGCTTTATTTTAATTTGGGTTTAATTGATCTGCTCTCAACACTGAAAATTCCTTTGTAGCACTTCTATTAACTCAGCAGTGGCTAATTTGCTCAGCACTGATGGCTGTATTAAATAAGTTTGTGCATCATGCTTAGTGATGGACTCATGAGTAAGAGCCTATTTGCTCCTTTCTCAGGTGGTGTGGCTAAACAACTGCCTGTGGGGCTGGGCTGAAGAATGTGAATCTTTTTGTTTCAGTTGTGGACAGTCGCTTTTTTTAGTAACTGTAGACAACTGTAAGAACTGTAAGAACTAATGGGATTTGATTGATAGATGGGAAGAGCAAAATGGTTTACCCTGTGGGACATTTTAAAAAATGAAATAGGCCAAGTAGGTGTGTTTGGCCGACAGAAGAGTCTTTACATCTGTTTTTCTTTTAATTTTGTTTACAACCCCCAGTACCGAAATGGCAAGATATACTGTATCTTACAGTATTGTATACTGTAAAAAAATATAGGTGGCAATGGGAGCAGGAAGTCTCTGGAAGGGAAACTGCATTTCCACAGTTAACCCTGTAACCCTGGCCAAAATTGTACATTCAAAATTTCTAATTTTACCCTCAAAATTCCAGTAAGATTTGGCCAACTGGCAAAGCCATGTCTCTAGGCCTTTACGAAAAGATAGAAGAGTTGAAGCCAACCTCACATCGGGGGGGGCAAGATGTTCCAGAAGGCAGAAGCAACAGCAGTGAAGACCCTCCTCCTGGACCCCACCAGCTAGAATAATTGGCTGACGGGACCAGCAGCATGACTCCGCTGCCGGCACAAGTAGTACAGGCCAATCCCAGTGGGGGTGAGACAGTCCCTCAAGTATCCTGGCCCAATGTCATGAAGAGCTTTAAAGGTGATCAGCAACACCTTGAATTGCACCCGGAAGCAGACTGGTAACCAATGCAGCTCACGGAGCAGTGGTATTATAGGGACCATTCTAGGGAGGCCCAAAATTACCCATGCTGCTGCACTCCGCACCAGCTGTAGCTTCCAAAGACTCTTCAAGGGCAGTCCCATGTAGAGCACATTACAATAGTCCGGCCGTGAGATGAGTAGGGACTGAGCGCAGGTAATCCTTGTCCAGGAAAGGCTGCAACTGGCGCACAACACAAAGTTACTTTTACTTAGCATATAGTGCAAACCAAGCCAACTGTTGATTTATTCAATAAACTATTGAATGGTTAAACAAAACATAACATATCCCAAAATGTGAATAAGGTATCCAATGTTAATGGATGCACGGAATTATATTGGGGAATATGCTAAATTTTTACTCAGTTCATACTAAGGATCTCTGACTAGCTCTCTCTTTTTCTCTCAGCAGAGACTCAAGGAAGCAGTGTGTGCAGTTTCTCCAGGTATTTCATTTTTGTTATGATGGAGTTTAGTTACCTTATTAAAGGCTTTGAGGTGAATCTGAGAACCAGGAGCACCAATTGTTGATACTCTAAGTCTCATATCAATATATAAATCAACATACATATATATGTACCAAATCAGAACTTGACAGTGCCATTCATTCCCCTTAATATTTTAGCCTGAGGTATTGTGCAGCACACCAAGTTACCTCCAGCAAATTAGCGGGGAAATTCTGTGTCCTTTGATGAACAAGAGAAATGTGAGTATCTATTGTAGCAGATGGGCTTTTCTATAAATACCCATAATCTTGTGTCAAGATTTCTGCTTCATGGCAATGATGTCCACTCTAGGTTTTCTGATATGGATGATGCTTTCCAGAAGCAATTTGCAGGTATTTCTAAGGGTCGTGAGGGGATGAGGGATTTTAACTAACTATTGTAACCACATTTTGCAACCAAAGAAAATGGTTGAGCCATAAGGTTGAGCAATTTCCAAGCACCCAAAATGTGATCACATGATGGGGGAGTATGGCCATATTAACTTCAAAATCAGGTTGAAAGTGCCTTGGGGGTGGGTCAGTCATAACTTTGAACAGTCTCAGGAGTACTTGTATATTCTGGTAGCTCTTAATAGATTTTTGTTGATTAGGACTAAATGATGAGTTTTTACAATTTGAGCATTAATAAGGGCTTAGATATGAAAGGAAGGTGTTTTTTTTACTGAAATAGTGCAGAAGGTGTTAAATTACTGAAGTTGTTAAATATTTGCCTGGAGGAAGGTGAGGGTCAGTGATACAAAGTGGCAGGGGAAAAAAAGATAACTTTAGATTGCATTAAAAGAAAAGTTTTTTTAAAAAAATGATGAGTTAGCTTTACTTTATAGTTGTCAACCCCCACTTTCATTATTACGTTCGGGTTTTGGCATCATATTTTTAAAAGGATTCAGAAGATCCAGAGAAAAACAATGAGGAAGTCAATGAGGAAAAAAGATCAGTTGCAATATTTTGGCTTGGAAGATTTGAGTACAATATGACTATAGTATTTTGGATCTCATTAAGTGGAAATCAAAACACATCTCCATTAGATACAGGTGCTTCTTGACTTACAACCACAATCAGGACCAGAACTTCCATCACTTAAGTGGTACAGTTGCTAAATGAGTCATCATGGGACCACGCCCAGTTTTAATGACCTTTTTGCCATGGTTGTTAAGCAAATCATACAGTCATTAATCAGATGGCTTGTTTGGAAGCTGGCTGAGAAGATCGCAAATGGCCATCGTGTGTCCTTGGGACGCTGCAACCATTGTAAATACGAGCCAGTTCCAAGCACCCAGATCACAATCACGCAACTGCAGGTCGTAAGTGGAAAGACCGTCTGTCAGTCATTTTTTCAGTGCCATCATAACTTCGAATGGACATTAAATGAATGGCCATAAGTCAAGGACCACCTGTACAGTAAATATTTGCACATTTGAAAACCAGTGAATTTCATCTGCAATTGGTTTTCTTTCCAGAAAGCAGAGGATCTCATGGACCGTGAGATGAAATACCTTGGCAGCCCAATAGATGCTTCAGGAATCCCAGAAGCCTTGGGTAGCTTTTCTGATGAGCTCCGTTCCAGTGAAAAGGAAGAAACGGAGGTGAGAAGGATGAGTTAAAAGTCACTTTGTGGGCAGTTGTATTCATTAAAAAAAACAACAACCAGAGAAAGCAAGTATAGCTTGTCCACCATTGAATAGCAGTAATGCCAAGTAATAGCAGTGTTGGGTCTTGTCTGTTGCAAGGCTGGAGGGAGAGTCTTTGATAAGAGTTACCTGAGTGATCTTTGGGGAAATTGGAGGTAGGAGCTTGTATTCCGTTACACTGAAACATTTTCAAACATTAGGAAAAAATGGCTAGGTATCTTGTTCAAGGGTAAGTTTAAATACAGTATTCCAAGACATTACAGGTAGTCCTGTATATATAACAGTTATATATACAATTATAACACTTCCTTTAGTGACCATTTGAAGTTCCAATGGCACTGAAGGCACTTATGATCATTTTTCACACGACTGTTGCAGCATCCTCATGGACATATCAAAATTCAGATGCTTGGCAACTGACTCATATTTATGACGGTTGCAGTGTCCCGAAGTCATGTGATCACCTTTTGTGACCTCCTGACAAGCAAAGTCAATGGCAATGCCAAATTCATATAACAACCGTGTTATTAACTTAACTGCAGTGATTCACTTAACAACTGTGGCAAGAAAGGTCACAAATTGGAGCAAAATTTGTCTCACTAACAAATGTCTCACTTAGCAACAGAAATTTTGGGCTCAATTGTAGTCATAAGTCGAGAACCGCCTGGATAAATATCTAGTGCTCAAGATTGGTCGTTGCATTTTTGATGATAATTGTCATAGTGGTTGTGAGAAGCTTATATATTAATTTTATCCCGAGGAGAAGATTCAGTCTTAACTTGGGACTGATCTCTTAAAACCTAGATATAATTCAGTTTATTTTTTGCAACTGGCTAAATTTCTACGAATTCATTCACATCTCTAGGGTAGCATATTAGAATAAGTAAAAGTTCATTCCTTCTGGGATTTTGATAATGAGTTTTTTTTAATTTTCTACTCTAGTAATTTCAATCACGGCCTGAAACATATCTCAAAATGTTGAACACCTTTAGCAGAGATTCTTTGAACCACTTCTGTTTCTCTTCTGCCATACAAAAATGGACATCCCTAATTAGAGCTTGCTCCAAAGCCTAATAGAATTTCTTATACTGGCTGCTACTCATTTGTCATGAGTTCTAGAACTGAATCACCTCAGAAATACCTCCCTTTCTGTACTGTATCTGTACATTTCTAAATGAACTCTTGTAAGTACAGGTAGTCCTCGACCTATGACCACAATTGAGCTCCAAATTTCTGTTGCTAAGAAAACATTTGTTAAGTAAATTTTTCCTCGTTTTATGACCTTTCTTGCCACCGTTGTTAAGTGAATCACTGCAGTTGCTAAGTTAGTAAACACGGTTGTTAAGTGAATCTGGCTTCCCCATTGACTTTGCTTGTCAGAAGGTCACGAAAAGTGATCACGTGGCCCCGAGACCCTGCAACCATCATAAATATCAGTTAGTTGCCAAGGGCCTGAATTTTGATCATGTACCCCTTGGGAATTCTGCAGTGGTTGTAAGTGTAAAAAATGATCATAAATCACTTTTTTCACTGCCACTGTAATTTTGAATGGTCACTTAATGAACTGTTATAATTCGAGGACTACCTGTACTAAAATATAGTAATTTTTTTGTTTTTGTTTCACCCACACAGCCATCCTTTCTTTCCTTGCACATTTCCTCATAACTTTGACCTCTGTGGGATGTGAAAATGATCCAGATTGGGAAACCGGGAGGGGAGAAGGGAATGAGAGTCCTGTAGAGCAGTGTTTCTCAACCTTGGAAGCTTGAAGATGGGTGGACTTCAACTCCCAGAATCCCCCAGCCAGCGCTGGCTGGGGGATTCTGGGAGTTGAAGTCCACCCATCTTCAAGCTTCCAAGGTTGAGAAACACTGCTGTAGAGTATTAAATTGCCACTCAAATGCTGGCAGAATTAAAGGAAGGATTGTATTTTTGTTAATACAAGTGGTTTTGCATTTGCCACACTTCTGGTTCTGTATAACGAAACAGTTGTCGGGTTCAGCATACATTAGCCAGATGAAAAAGAGGACTCAGAATATTTTGTAAAGTGAACTTCCCCGGTTGAAATCCTTCTTTTGTACAACTATTAAAGCTGTAAGTGCCTAATGTTCTCTTTTCATCAGGCAATTCTATTTTTTTTTAATGCTCTGTTTTCTCCTGTGATTCCTCCATAGAAGTCCCTTTCTGGGCACCACTCTAGCATGGCTGCCTTGTTGTCTGGACCACTCCGTGCTCAGGACATCAACATCAGTGAGGTAAACGGGGATTTTTTAATCAGCAATTTAGTTAACTCGGGCTCTTGCCTTGTAGCCAGTAGCAAGTAACATTTTGTCTTCCAAATGATCCAGTCTGGAAACAGCAGCATTTAAAGGCTCAAATGTTTAACATGTTTATGGCTGGGCCATTAAAACAGTTTGTGGGCTGATTTGCAAGGTTGTTGCAAAACTGAGGCTGTCAGACTCATCTGAGAGAGCTAGCAATAGTTAACATGGAAGTACAGTTGAAAAATCTATCAATCAGCCTTAATGAGACTGATGAAGTGAAATGTAGGGTCCTTCCTTCCTGATGTCTTGATCTCCGTTTGGCACATTTAGCAGGTCTCCATGAACAAGAGCAGCCTCTTCCGATCTCCATCTCTGCCAGCAAAACTAAATAGACCTGCATCAAAGAGGACAGTGAAAAGCTATGCTGATGAAACTCCAGCTAAAGTGACATGGAAGTGCAGCTCAATCCAAGAAGGGCCAGATGGGGTAAGAAACAACAGTTGGTCCTCATATCAGGACCGTGTCAAGAAGAAAAACGAGGGAAGCACGGGTATTTTTCTCTTGTTCAAATAGAAGGTAACAAACAGCTAAGATGTTTAGAGGAACCTTGCTGGCCAGAAATCTGTTTATTACAGCACTCTGTTTCATCCACTGGTGAGCAGGTACACCCATTTTACACATTTGATAGGGCCAACTCTTTTACTGTTATATCCAAACAACTGGGACTTAAGCTATGATGCACTGGATTCAACTATAATCCATAGGCCTGCTATCCCTGTATTTACTTGAGCTAATTAGACTCAGATGATGTTCAGACCACTTTGTAATTCCTAGCACAGCAGGATTATAGGTAGTTCTAAAACAGGGGTGTCAAAATCATGTCATCATCACGACCGTGTCACATGATGTATCAGGATTCCCCCCCCCCTTTGCTAAACGTGAGCATGGCCAGCATCTGGCCCATGGGTCAGGAATTTGACAGCCCTGTTCTAAAGGATCATAAACTTTTGTCACTATTTCAAAGCTCAGCCACTCAAAGATTTTGCACTAGCTTCTGTTGAACTGCATTTGTCAATTAAAACTTGTTCACTCAATTTAGAGAGACTCTTGGTCTTTATTTTTAATTTAGCACCCCAAATAATTTTGCATTTAAAAGTCACTCCAATCCCAATACTGGTCCTTAAAGAATTCTACCTTGTACCTCTTGCCATTAGGATAATTGTCCACTTACCCCCAGTCTCTTGCTTTAAAATTACTGTTTTAAATCTTTTTATCAAGTTCTTCATGGTCTGTTTCTTAACCTTTATTGTCCATTTGTATTTCCACTGTTTTGTTTTCATTTAGTTAAGAATTCTATTTTTTTTTAACTGAAGTTTCCTTGTCACTCATATAATTTCTAACGTGCTCATTAATTGAACAGGGATCCTCCTGTATTTATTGGGACTGTTCTTGATCTCAGTTCTGTTTACACTTTTCTCATGGTTTAAATTCAGTGGTTTTGCTCAGACTGACAGTTGAATCAGTCAATGAACAGTCATTTCAAGGGTCTCATTAAGCTTTCCTCTAGTATTAAATATTTCAATTCCCCCACTTTGACGCAGATTTTTGTATTTTTTGTAGAAATATTTAACTATGGTTTCCATTCATATTTTGTTATTTCAAGCTTTTTCATGCACAGAAGACTGATCCTCACAGTTATTTGTCTGCATATGTATTGATGGATTGCCTGCTTGTTTATAGGTTATGCTTTTGAAGAAAACAGCCTCCCTTTCTGACATCGAGATCGTCAGAGCCCTTGATCAAGACCAGGGCTTCAGACAGTTAATTGGTGATTTCTCTAGCGTAGGTGCCTTCTTGCTTCTCTGATTCTTCTTTTGGGTGGGTAGGAAGAAGAATGCTGACTTTGTGCATGTCATGCTATTCCAAACTTCCCTTCCTAATAATTGAACAATGCTGAAACAGTTTTCTGTATTGCTCAATCTAAGCACTGATGAAAAATTCATCAGTGTGGGAAATTTGAGTATGTGTTGGCAGACAAGACCTACCATGATCTGGTAGGTAACAGATTAGAAGAGTTATTTGTCATGTTCTACAGCTGGGTGATTAAGACTTCCAGTTAAGAAGTGTATGAGTAGCAGCTCACACTTGCATAAAGATATCTACTTCACTTTTAAAAATTCAGATAGGCATGATTCTAATGCGCCAAGCTCAAATGAAAGGTCCCTTCTGTAACAGTGTGATGTGAGACTTATCTGTGGTTGGCCATTCTCACGGATTACCTGAGGGCTCCGAAATGGATACTAAATCAACCTGAAATGTTCTTGTAACTTTTGAGCTTGTTTTATTGTAGATTCTGCCATCCATGGTTCCATTTCTTAGGGAAGAGTTTTATGTAACCCCTTCTTTCAATTCTCAAGGTTAACACTACTCTTTAGTAGTCAGTGTGATGCCCAGCATAAGATAGCTTCCAGAATGCCATTAATAGATTTATATTTTGAATTTTATTAGTACCCAACTAAAAGTGCACATTAATTTTTCCCAGATCCAATGAATCTTAAATTAATATTCTTAAAATATCTAGAGCACATTTTTGCAAAGAAGCATTAGAATAAATACAGAAAATGGAACCTGTGATGTTATTATTAGTTACTACATTATCCTGCATTCAGTTTAAAACGAGTTATAAGAGCAAAATAGTGAATAGTGATTGTAAACAAATTCTAACTCTGCCTAGATGAGCTTGCCTACCTAGTAAAATAGAGCATCACCTATATTAAATTTGAGCAAAGCAATATCTCTGATATCAATACATAAATAGCCATCCAGATATAGAAGTTGCATGAACTGGTACAATAATAACCAGAAAGAAAGTTATGGGCAAAAAACCCCATTTACATAATAAGTTTGTTTCTTCAAACGTATTTGTAATAAATGCACTCCATGTTGCTTTTTTATCCTTGTCACATCCTGCTATTGCCATTTTGTGATCCTGATTACTTGAATAATATGGATACCATAATATATACTGCTCAAAAAAATAAAGGGAACACAAGCAGAAGACATCCAAGATCTGAATGAATGAAATAGCCTTATTAAATACTTTGTTCATTACATATAGTAGTTTTGTGTTCCCTTTAGTTGTTTGAGCAGTGTATAAACTACTGTATGTAAAGAACAAAGTATTTAATAAGGCTATTTCATTCATTCAGATCTCGGATGTCTTCTGCTTGTGTTCCCTTTATTTTTTTGAGCAGTATATTAATAATATATTATGGTGGTGTTATTACAGTGCAGCCTTGAGCAACTTGCAATAATCTCCACCATGATACTAGTCACAGTAAACAATCTTTATTTGGCTTCGAGAAATTAGGCAAACCAGGAAAATCCCACTTTTCAGCAAACTCCCACAAGGGAGGATACCAAATGTTCATTGACATTACATATGTAAAAACAAAGTAAATATGCAAGAACAAAGTGGGAGGGTGGAAAGTGTTAGTAAATGGATTAGCAGATCAAAATTTTTCAGGCAATAATTTTCAACAGTGCAATTTTCAGCAGTGCCTGAAATAGCTCAGAAAAAACAAACTTAGCATATGGCCCAAACAATTATACTGTCTTCAAAACATGTATGAAGTTTTGAATAGGGAATCATAATGTATATTTATTATTGCTTCTTAATATACATGTAGGTGAAATGTTTGCAAATTTAGTTGGGCCATTTTCTCCTGAATCCAGTGCATCTTATTTCCCAGCAATTGCATTCAGGATTATTTTGCTGGTGTTATCTAGCTGACGCTTGAAAAAAGCTAGAGGTTCTTTTGAATTGTAGAGATTTTAAACATGAAACGTGATTGTGTTTCTCTAGGTCTATGTATTGCCAACAGTCACAGGAAGGCATTCAGATCTGAGATATATCACTGCAGATACTGTGAGCAATCTTGCCTGCTTTAAAGTGTTCATATGTCTGACTTTCTCTTTCCTTTTGACTTTGCAAATATACTTTCACAGGTCAGCTGAATTGTAGCTGTACCTCCTTTTCATTTAGGGTCACTTGGTTCTGTAAAAGTTTCAGAAGATAGCTGAGGGGGTCTTGCTGTAGCACCTAATCAAGCAAGCTTCTCTGTTCTTAACATTCTTCTGTAGAGTATCTAAGACTTCAGCTACACCATAGTCTCCATGTTTATTCAACTGTCTAGCCAAAACATTTATTCTTTGCCTTCATAATAACTCTGTGATCGAAGTAAAACTAAGAGATGAACTTTACATCAGTGTGGGTGCCATTCTTCTCTTTTTACAGATGGTAGCACTGCTCCACAATAAATTTCAAAGCCTTATAGAGAAGTTCTACATTATTGACTGCCGCTATCCCTATGAATATCTTGGGGGCCACATCAAGGTGAGGGATTCATCTTAAGAGTAGCCTTCCTGGTCTGGTGGCCTTCAGTTATGTTGAAGTAGAACCCCCAGCCATCCCCACCTAGCACAGTCTGTGGCCTACTTATAGCATAGCCCAATATTTTGTTTCTTTTTACAGGAGGCCTTGAATATTCATAGACAAGATGACTTATTTGAACTTTTCCTGAGGAAGCCAATGCTTCCATCATCACCTCAGAAGCGCCTCATCCTTGTATTCCATTGTGAATTTTCTTCTGAAAGGGGTCCCAAAATGTGAGTGTGGACCACAGAGGGCTATGGAGGTGGAGGGGACTTTTTGGAAAAGGGAAACAGGTGTTTTTGGAAGTCCCTGGACAGGCAGGATAACCAGTTGCCTTGCTGTGAAGGTGTCGTTACCTGAGGGAGGAAGACCGAGCCATGAATGAATATCCTGCCCTGCACTACCCTGAACTTTATGTCCTCCAAGGTGGCTACAAGGAGTTCTTTCTAGAAAACAAGGTAACAATGAGACAAAGACTATTGTTATATATTATAGAAATGCACTTCATCTGTTAGATGCTGATGATTCCAACAATAGCAAAGATCATATCTTTTTTTCAGTATTCCATATCTTTCTACCTAGATTGATCTTAAACTAAGAAACATTAATAAAGAACCCTTCAACAATATAGAAACAAAAATGAAAATCTGGCTGTTAAAGAAGCAGTTAAGAATTAGATATTATTTGTATAAAAATTCAGCCAATTTAATCTAACACTTTTAAATTAGCACCAGGCAAATTTCTGGATATTTCATTTCGGGTAAGGTCTTAATCTCTATTCACTTCACTTCTGGAAAAGATACATCATAGAAAGGTTTCTATCACTTATTTTAACATTTGGATTTCTACATAGTCCTACCTATTTTGATTCAAGCTACAGAATGCTATAGAGATTGAAATCAGCACTTTGAAATGAGTCAAGTTCTTTTAAAATGAGAAAAATATTCTGTTTGACAAAAGATGTGGTATTTTGTATAAACAGAAGTCTACAAATAGTGTTGTGGCCCATCAGCGGCCTGTGCGGATTGTAGCTGATTCTGACAGCGAGGAGGCTGGTGTGGTGCTGCGCCAGCAGCCTGTGCAGCTGGCACTCGAGTCAGACAATGAGGAGGCTGGAGAAGATGTTGTGCCAGAGGCAGGGATTCAGCCAGGGCCTTCAGAACCTCCAGAAGCTCCTTTAAGTGAAGAGGACGAAGAGGAGGAGCCTCTTCTCAATACACGGGTGTACAGAGCTGCCAAAAGGCAGGAGTGGCTCCTCAGGAGGAGGTCTCCTCGAGAGTAAGGCTTGGGGCTAATTGGCCATTCCCTTAGCCTATTTAAGGAGGAACGCCAACTGAAGCAATTTGTAGGGAACAACTTTTAGTTCATTCTCTTTCGTGTCTGGATTCTCTGCAAATTGCTTCTGGGCTTTCTGCCAACCTTAGTAAGATTATGGTTACTTTATCTTTGGTTTCTTGTAGGCTGTTAAGAAAGTTTCTTAACAGCCTTTGTTTGGAAAAGATTGAGTTATTTTAGTAAATTTAAATTTTGTACAGATTTTGTGTGTGCTGTGTTCTTTGGGGTCTGTAGCTGGGGCAGAACAAATTGTCTTCAGAGGTACCCCTATGGACAATACATGCCTTGATCTAATCCAGAACTCTGCATTTCTCAGAGTGGTGCTATAGGCAGATTGTTGGGCAAAGATTTACTTGATGCTGTCCCTTTTTGGATTATGTTCAAATTTAGCCTCAGTTAAGAGGATATTACTTGGAAAAGTATGTAGCAATCTTATGCATGAAGAATCTTTAAGAACAGAAAAATATTGCATCTTATAATGTACCAGAAAAAAGAATACAGTTATAAAACAACTGAATATCCTTTTCATATGCAAGGCAAAACTGTGACAGGTAAAAGTGCTGGACTAGAAAGTGGAGACCCAGGTTCAGATTCCCAAAGCCATGAAGCTTGTAGAGCCGTGATGGCAAACCTATGGCACACGTGCCGGAGGTGGCATGCAGAGCCCTCTGCTGGCAAGCGCACCATCATCCCAGGTCAGATCTCTGTGGTGTTTCTTTCGTGAGCTTCTATTTCTCTGCAAACGATGAAACAGAAGCTCACAAAAGAAAAAGTTCTTACCTCTTGCCGCACTGCCGGTGTTGAGATGTCCTGCCTCCTGCCAGCCAGCTGGTCTTCGGATCTCTGCTGCACATGTATGCATGTCCGTGCATGTGTGCATGTCCATGCATGTGTGCATGTCCGTGCATGCGCTCACACATGTCCATGCATGTACACATTCACATCTGTGCACCTTTCAGTTTGGGCATGCGCACACGTGCAGTTTGGGCACTTAGTGTCGAAAAGGTTCGCCATCACTGTTATAGAATATATCCTGGCAAATCGCATGCTTTTGAATTTATCCACACACGGTAGTTGATGCAGGATATAGAAAAAGAAAATGAAAGTGGGTGGAACTATGTGCACATAATGAGGTGGTTTGAGAAATTGAAGGAAGGAAGATTTTACACATTACTTGTGTTTGGTTTGGAACATCTAGCTCCAGATTTGAGAAGGAATGGCATTGAGGAATGACACTGGAATTTTATTTTTGCACTCTGTAAGCCATCCAGAGTCACAATACAGTGGAACGGCTTATAAATTCCATAGATGACTAAATAAAACAAAAAGCAATGTGCCTAGTAAGATAGGGGCTTTTCCCCTTATCCCATTCATATCTTTCCTGTTTTTTAAACATTTAATGGAAATAAATTACGAGATTTTACTTGTTTTCCCCTATAAATCAAAGAGCCATAATATACCGATTCTCTTATTTAGAAGTTGTATGTTGTTGTTGTTATTTTTGTGACTAATAGTTGTTGTGATTAACTAAATTGTGCGCTTTAAATTTTGGGAAAATATATCATCATTGATCTCCTTTTCTGATAGGAGCTTTGTGAACCACAGAGTTACTGTCCCATGGATCACCAGGATTTCAAGGCAGAGATGGTCAAGTTCCATGTTAAAAGCAAAACCTGGGCAGGGGAACGGAGGCGCAGAGATCACATTGTTCGTCTCATGAAGCTATGAGTTCAGAGTCAGTAGCCAGGAGGGGACTCCCTCCAAGACAGTTCCTTAGCCAAAGGAAAAGCTGCAGCATCTGTAAAATGTGCTGAAAGGCTAAGAAAGTGAGCTTGCCAGGACCAAGCAGCCCTGGCAGGGGTTACAATGAGGAGAGCTCCGATATGCAGAGATCCCTAGTTTGAAAGTGCTGTGGCCAAGTGCGGACATTCCTAATGGAACACCCTCCATAGAAGTGGCAATAGCCCCTGTGAGAAACAATGCCTAGAAATCTCTCCTAAGGCAGCAGGCTGAGCTGCTCTGTAATCCAGACTTTAAGCTAATTTTCAGAGGGAGACTTAATTCCTTTTAAACGTTACCTTAGGTTTTTGGCCAGTGAGTGCCTTATTTTAATGGAAGAATAAGCTGTTCTGGAAGATTATCAAATGTTGTTTAACTGCGTATCCAGTTTTGTATGCATATGTAAGTAATAGCTTGTAGTTTGGAACGGTACCATTCAGGTGAGAAGAAAAAGCATGAGGGAGTCATTTCATACTTGTTTTCTTTTAAGGGGGTATCTTCGTCTTCTGAACATCTTAGCGAAGGTGTAAATTAGTGATTTGGTATAGAAAAGTATAATAAGCTGCTGTGGCCCATACCTTCAGACATTGTAAATTTGCTATTCCAGGTGAATCACTTCTTTTTGGCAGTTCTGGAAAAAAAATTTTTTTATGATAGCATACATGAGCAATTGTAATTCTAGGCAAAAATAAAATTGCATATTCAAACTTGTTTCTAAGTTAATACTTCTTCAGACAATAAAGGTGACTAGGTAATCTCTCACAATATTGTAAAATCTCTTCACAGTATTGTAAAATTTTAGAGGTTTGTTGTAATTACCAAGATGCTCAAATGCTTCTCCCCTCATCCCTTCAAGACAACGTAATGAGGGAGATTAGGTTGAGTCTCTCTTGCCCACAAGTGCTACTATCTCCATTAAATTCCACTAACATATTCTTGGACTTACATGAAAAGAAGAGTTATACATGCAGTCCTCGATTTACGACCACAATTGAGCCCAAAATTTATGTTGTGAAGTGAGAAATTTGTTAAATGAGTTTTGCCCCATTTTTCAACCTTTCTTGCCACATTTGTTAAGTGAATCATAGCAGCTGTTAAGTTAGTAACACAGTTGTTAAATGAACCTTTATTCCTCGTTGACGTTGCTTGCCAGAAGGCCACAAAAGGTGATCACATGACCCTGGGACACTGCAACCGTTATAAATATGAACCAGTTGCCCAGCCTCCAAGTGTAAATGACATGACCACGGGGATGCTGCAGTGGTCATAAATATGAAAAATGGTCATGTTACTTTTTTCAGTGCCGTTGTAATTTTGAACGATCACTAAACAAACTCTCGAGGACTACCTGTGTCACTGGGTTTTTTTATTTTTTAAATCATGATTTCTTACATTGGAAGGTTGAAGTGATATTTTCCATTTTGCTAATTCTTCGCTAAAGGAAAAGTGTTTCCAGCAGATGGCGTAACTGCCACACTCAGGACAGGAAAGAAAGTGGCTTCTGGCAGCGCTAAGAAGCGGCCTGCCCTGGAGGATGGTGAAGCTTACAGAAGTACCAGGATCGGATGAAGAAGCCTTCAAACACAGATCTCAGAACTCACCAAAATTAAATGCTCTTCTCTTTTAGCAGAAGGAGTTCTTCCAGCATTCCTTTCCTCACTCACTTTCCTTTGCTCAATATAAAAACTGTAATGCAATGGTGGTGACGGGGCCCTTATGCTTGGTCAGCAAAGGGTCCCATCACCACCATTGCATTATGGTTTTTTATATTGAGCAAAGGGGCAATTTTGCAGCCTTCTGGCTTTATCTTACAGTTTCCTGCAGAGGGAGGGGAGGTATTGGTCGAATGACGAATGTGTCAGTTCTCCCAGGTAAAACCAGACAAGAAATGTGACCAGATGAGCTAAATCTACATTATTGTACAGTTACATTAATAGAATCTTGCAAGTTTGAAAGAACAAACTTCCAGCCTTGCATTTTAACTCTTTGCTCCATTAGGGAAGGTCCTTTCTTAGTTTTCTTTCTCTGATTGTTAAGCAACTGTGGGGCTCGTGCCCCTCTTGATCGATTATTTCCTGGGCAGCATTTCTTCCCCTTTCCTCAAAATTGTTACCCATGCATTCCGTTACACAATGTTACTGTTCCAGTTTGATAGGCTCCCCAATTCATGGGGAGGATCAGCATTGCAAAGCAGGCAATTAGGCCAAGGCAGCAAATGAGGGTTTAGGGCAGGGGTGAAATCCAGCAGGTTCTGACAGATTCTGGAGAACTGGTAGCGGAAATTTTGAATAGTTCGGAGAACCGGCAAATACCACCTCTGGCTGGCCCCTGAGTGGGGAGGGAATGGGGATTTTGCAGTATCCTTTCCCTGCCACGCCCACCAAGCCACACCCACAGAACTGGTAGGAAAAAAAATGGATTTCACCACTAGTTTAGGGAATGAATGAGGGTTTAGTGGCAGAGTGGAAGGGCCCATTTATTCCTTTTGCTGCACTGCCCCAATTTAAATCAGAACCAGGAGGCTTCCGGATGGAGTAAATCATGAAATCACATATCTCTGAGGAGCAGGGACAATGCTGAAATGGAAACTGTGGACAGCCAGTGAGTCCAGACCTGCAGACCTCTGGATAAGGAGAAGTCTGAGATTGCCCAACTATGCTCCTCACAAGGAAAACTGCAGGATCTGGAAAGCAGAGCACCAACTACAGTATGGACGTTATCCGGAAGCTTCTTTTATCTGCTGAATTCTCATGACATTGCCTTGCCCACAAAGTTAAAGGAGTGTTTTTCCCATTCAGGAGCCAACAAGCTGCTTTCAGTTTTACTGTGGGGACAATCTGGCATGCGTGTGTGTGTGTGTGTGTGTGTTATGGAATGATGGGACCAAACAACATTCCTGGTCAGCCAGAGACAGTTTTATTGCACAGTTTCAGAACCAGATTTGTATCTGCAATTCTGAACCAAGAAGAGCTCTGACACAACTGCTTTTATACATCTCCAAGACAAAGGATTTTGCAAGCACAGCAGTTTTCCATATATGCTTAACATACATTTGTTACATTATAATTGACCCTTTCTAATTACTAAATTCTTTCATTATTTTCTAGTTCATAAGGTTATTTTAGCTAAACAACCTTTCTCAATTCTGTGTTTGCAGATGCGTAGATTCATGACTGCTTTTGCTTAATAAGTAACTTTTTGTTTCAGATGGATGTCTCTGCATCCTTGACAGATAGGCCCCTCAGAAGATACATATATTACCAAGAATGGAATTTAGCTGACCTAGTGTATTTTCTAAACAAGCACATTTCTTTCTTATAATAATGTGAATAAAGAGGGTCCTTCAGTGTTCATATAGCTGATCCTGTACTATTCACATTATGTGTGTGTGTGTGTGTGTGTGTCTTCAAGCCATTGTTGATTCCTGGAAACAGTCTAGACAATCTCTGCAGCTTTCCTTGCAATATTTCAGAATTGCTATTGCCTTCTTTCTAGGGCTGAGGGAGAGTGACTAGCCTAAAGTCTCCCAAGTGGCTTCATGCCTATGACAGGACTAGAACTCATGGTTTCCTGAGTTCTAACCCAGTCCCTTCATCTCTACACCAAACTGGGTCTGTGGTATGTTTTTTGAGCCTTGCATCAGTGGCCCTTTCAGGGGACCCCAGAGAGTAGGGTATGTGTGGCACTTCCCAGCCAGCTTAGGCTGGTGTGCACATGCCCCTGCCCCCAGGGCCAGTCTGCTTCAGACAGCAAGTCTAGCCTTTTAAACAGGGCTCTCGACCACACCCGAGGTTTCTGAACCATTCCATTGCACAGCAGCAGCTGATCAGTGAGGTAGGAAAGTTGTGCAGGAAAGCAGGGCAGCCACAGCCAACATCTTTTCCAGAGAGTTGCAAAGAACGTGGTTAAAAAAGAACAAAGAAATTTAAAGCTTTAAAAAGCCAAGAAAGATGCAAAGTGTCTGATGAAAACAATAGCATTTTGGAAGTATGTAAAGAAGGCTGTACAAGGAGCTTCTGACAGAGAATTTTTAAAAGAAAAAGTGATAACATTTGGAATTAAACTGAAGTGAAGAGAAGCTGAGTGTTTTAGAGATGAGTTTGGGGTTAATAATAATATGTCAAAGAGTAGAATTGTATACATGTGATGTTGTGCAAGGAAATACTATGAAAAGGCAGAACTGCAAAACAAATGTATGAATGAAAGAAGAGAGAGAGAGAAGGAGAGGAAGGCAGGAAGAGAAAGAAAGAAAGAAAGAAAGAAAGAAAGAAAGAAAGAAAGAAAGAAAGAAAGAAAGAAAGAAAGAAAAAAAGAGAGAAAGAGAAAGAAAGGAAAGAAAGAAAGAAAGAAAAAAGTAATGGGTTGTGGGGGAGGAGGAAGACCAAGAATGATGCTTAAAATGAAGGATGCATGAATTTCAAAAACAAAAAGCAATATAGGAATTTCCTTTTTCTTACTTTATGCCTTTATTTTTATTTATGTTTTTGCTTGCTATTTCGTTTTTCCTTTTCTTCATACAGAGTTATGTTGCTTATCCTGAAAGGGAATAAGCATTAAAAATATATGTATGTATTTCTCCTTGCCCTCATTCATTCCTCACTAATGTTCCATAGCATTTCCTGTGGAATAAAAGGCTAAATTTATATTTAATTGGTTCACTTTCAAATTCCCAAGCCCTCTGGGTACAATACTGCAGGGACACAGGGGCAGGGAACTGAACTTGGCTTAGCACTGAGTTCGTACATGGGAAGGACCTTAATGTTAATGGTCTGGGGTAATGAGAAAATGTTGAAGCTGATTAAAGTGCATCATCATCCAGCTGTTGTATTCATGCAACACATTGCAAATAAGGTTCTCTTATTCAGTCAGGTTGTCAGGAAACAAAACTGCTGGCAATTCTTCAAATGCTATGTGCTATGCCAGTGTTGGTGAACCTTTTCGGCACTGAATGCCGAAATGGGAGCACACACACGTACATACCGGAAACCACAAGACCAGCTGCCCGATGTACATGCGAGTGCCAGAAGATGATCTTCCTGTTTCCGGTGCGTGCATGCGCACCAGCCAGCTAGTCTTCGCACGCACATGCACACTAGAAACCGGAAGACCAGGTGGCCAGTGCGCATGTGTGTGCCAGAAACCAGAAGATCACCTTCCCGGTGCACACATGCGCTCCGGACGGCTGCTCTTCTGGTTTCCGGCACTCCTATACATATGAAGACCAGCTGGCCAGCACGCTGGGAGCCAGAAGAGCAACAAGCAATGGCTCGCATGCCCGGAGAGATGGCTCTGCGTGCTACTTTCGGCACGCATGCCATAGGTTTGCCATCATGGTGCTATGCTGTATGATGAAAACTGGTTCCATATTCTTTAGTGTTCTCTCAATGGGCTTTTATTTTATTTTTTAAGTTCAGCTAAATGAATAGGCTCTAAGTTTGGATATATTTTACATTCCAGTGCCATTCAGGGTAAACATATGTTAATCACAAATGGATTTCTTTAGCAATGTTACAAATAATATTCTTTAAATAGACAGATAATTGTCTTATAGCTACTATGTACTCCACTATTACAAATTTGATTTATTGGACTGTTAGAGGTTCAAAGGATTTGATTTTTTGGTTTAAGACTATGGTATCTGAACAAAACTGTACTTTCCCCCTAATACAGCTAATTCTAAATTATTTGTAGAGGTGGTATATGCATAATATAAACAATGAATATAGGTTTTATGAAACCAGACGGTATAGGAAAGACTTACAGTT